AAGTTGAATAACTACAGTTTGAGTAACTCAATCCATTACAATCCCGTCCACGAGGTATTTCTGTGGTGTTGTATCGAATAGTTTCCCTTAAGTTTGAGATTCATAATTTGCAATGTATTTCTGTTTATCATGTTTTCAACTAAATGACTAATTATTTCGTAGGCTTAGTTTTGCTTGTTATATCTAGATTATAAATATTGTTGAATATTGTTTATATGTTAGGTAAATTTTGTGCGCCTTGTCATCTATTGTGTGGTATAATATCGGCCAAATTTTAGTTCTTAGATTCGATTAGTTAATACAATATTTCAATATTCATCCTGTTAAAAAGATCATATGTTCATAATTCTTTACGCACTTAACACACGATTAATCTAACTAAAATGTCCTTTTATAATAATTTTTTTTGGTTGAAACTATGCATGCACGAATATATAGGTCTCATTCAATTGATTTGAGTTTTCAGTTTTAGATTTTTATAGTTAAAAGCTTTTAAAAATGTCACATCTAACTTTTCTGCTACAATTAAAAACTCTCAAAAAATGTCACATATCAACTTAAATTAAAAACTCGAATCCGCGAAGCGAATGAGGCCATAGAAAGTGTGTACACAAGTTAAGCTTTAAAGTATGTTTTTGAGTTAAAGTCGCGAGTTCGATATCACATGTAATATTTATTTTTTATTTACGGGATGAGACATGGTATATCATGTGTTTGAGTTTGTAAAGCATATATATTTCTAGATTAAGAAGAATAATGTATTAAAAAGCAAAAGAATTTATATGCAATTCTCATATTAGAAGGGAAACATATATATAACAGCCTTGATTTCAATGATTTGTAAGTAAAACAAATTAACCTAATCCTAATAAACAATTGGAAAACCACGATTTAATGATATATACATATATATATATATATATGCGACCTTTTGTCGTATCTGTTATGTGAACAAGCTGAATTTATAGAAGTCAAATTTATAGAAAGTCATGAATCATGACAGGTTAATGTTCACATTGACAAGATAATTGGAATTTGGAATAACATCTTACCATGCAATTTGCAAGTGGATCGAGTACGTGCGTAAAACATTGCGGGCGGCTGACAAAGTGACTGCCGACACATATATTTAGAACTATAATCACCAAGTTTTTTTTTTTTTTTTTTTTTTTAGAAGAACTCCATAATATAGATTAAGAATTAAAAACTCTAGTGCGTTGTGATTAATGTCTTAAAATCATTAAAATCTCAATTATTACATGTTGATTTGTATATAATTTGATGTTTCAAAATAAATATATGATATAACTATTTATTAATGACTGTTACATATATATATATATATACACTAATACAATTAAGTGTTCCATGTCATAAATTAATGCACATTTTAGAGATAAAATATATATATATATATAAAGAAATATCAAAATGTAAGTACTTTCCTTGGATCCGAAGTTTGTCCACATTTGACTGGTCCATTTTGGCGGGTAGCTATAGCTGTTAAATTTGTAAAAAGGGTTTTGACAACTCATGCGTTGCCGCTAAAAGACCCTAATTATAAAATTGCAGGACCATATAGCCCATGTGATGCCATATGGGCATGACATGGCATTGTTAAGCAAAAGTATGAATTTCATGCCGCCTTATAAATTGGAAAAAATAAAAAAAAAATATATATATATTGGAGTGGAAGACTTGGTATGAAGTGGTCCTTTTGACAAGCAATTTATTAGGTCTCATTAAAACTTGATTTGACCCTAGATATATAATATTATATATATATACATGAAAAAGGGGTGACTAGCTAATTAGCTCATTTGAGTGGTTTTGAGGAATCGTAAGATATCCCAATCATAGAATTGTGATTTGTAGTAATGGACTGTCTGATCCCAGTCATATTAATGAGTACACTGACGTGATTTATGCATATTGATGAATTTGTTTTTTTCTCTTTTGTTTTAAGAATATTATGATACTTAGGTATCGTTCATTTCACCGATTTGAGTTTTTAGTTTTAAGTTTTTATAATAAAAAATTCTCAGAAAATGTCACATTTAATTTTTTCTGTTACAGTGAAAAGCTCTCAAAAAAATGTCATATCTCAACTCAAATTAAAAACTCAAATCTGCGAAGTCAACGAGACCTTATTAATTACTCTTTCTAAGGTTTTTGTGGTCATTATATCTGCGAATAATGCTACCATATACGCAAACACTGTCAAAGTTTTTATCTTGCCTAAGACAACCTTGCTAAACATACCAGAGTGCTAATATTTATAATAGTCCATATTGTCTGCACCATATTTTTATATTATGAAAATTGTGATTATTAATTAGTTTAATGATTGTAATCTATTAATTGAGCTTTTTTTTTTTTTTGGCTGAAAGATGATCCCACTTTATAACTCTAATTGAGTTGGTAAAGCTAACATATGAACCACGGTATTATCTTTCTGATCTATCCGTGAATTATGTGTGTTATTTGTTTTTACGTTTTAGTGAAAAAGATATAAATACTATTAATTGCTTTAGTCATAATGGAATTACATTAATGCTTATTATTTTTTTTTTAACTATGCCAAGGCATCCTAATTTTTTGTTGGACATTTTCTTGTAACTAGTTCTGTAACGTGCTTCGCACGTATTGCCGTATTAGAGATACTTAAAGAGTTTATTATTTACTGAATATTGAGGGATTTATTTATACAACCATTTAAGGATTTTTGATCTTATTTTTTAAAAAAAAAATATGTGTAAAGATAACAATTAACGAAAAAGATTAAGTATGAACACATTTAAAGAAAATTATTTTAACAAAAAAAATAAAATAAGAAGACATGAGAAAAATTAATTTTATAAGAATAAAGTGAGGAACAAAATATTTTTAAAAGACATACCAAAATACCAAAAAATTAAAATGTTAAAAAATTTCCAAAAAAAAATAATGAATTAAGTGGGGGTTGCCACTACAGTTTCATGATAAAGAATTTTAACTCTTTTACGTATAGTTAGATTTGTCTACAAGGCTTATATTTTTTTCAACACTGACTATCAATCATTCTGGTCAGTCTATATTATGATTAAAATATGTGATGGGCCAACCACCATGCAGTACGGAATGCATTTAGCGACATCATTGGACCTAATATTCTCTTGTATAAATTGTGTCTCTTTAATTTCTCTTAAATTAATGCACTTATATAGAGATATCAATCAACGTTTTTCATCTTATATTCCGTCCTCTTTAGTGCACTTAATTTCCCTTTTCTCAATTAATCCACGCGCTCATTTATTAGACAAAAATCTATATATTGAAGTTAAAATTTATATTATATGTTAAAAATATATAATTAACTCATAAATAGAGTACGATCATTTCCCAATTCAATGATCTTTATCTCCAAAGTATGCATGTATTGATTAAACATGGCGATGAGAATTTGTCTACATATAGTTTTTAAGGTAGGAGAATCTTGATCACTTTTTCTATTGTCTGGCCAACACTTTTCTATAAAAATATCATTAGGATTTTTCTTCTTCACTCTTCTTAATATCCTTTAGAAATTCAAGATCTTACAAAATACAAAAAAAAAAAAAAAATAAGAAAATTATTGAACTTACATTTAATGTGTATGAATATGCATTTTTACCTCATACTTTTGATTAGTACCATTTTAACTAATCAATTATTTAACTAAAAAGGATATAATCAAGAGTAAAGAGTAAAAATTCAGACCATGCATTCTAAAAAATATTTTTCTCCTTTATCCAACTAAAGTCCAATAAAACAAATAGATGGTTTATCAGATTAATGGTCACGAATAATTAAGTTACAAAGTAATTCATTCCCAACAACTTTTAATTATGTTCTTATTCTTTTTGTGAACATATAGTTTTGTAGCACTTACAGTACTGTTGATATGATCACGTAACTTGAACAAGAAAAAAAAAAGTGCACGTGTCCACAAATATTGTTGATTATTGGCACAATTAATTAGGAATAATATATATTATTCTAATTAAATTTACAAATTCTGATAGAAACCCACAAAAGAAAATACCATTTTTTTTTCCTTTTTCTTTAGGAAAACCACATAACAAACGGGATTGACAAGGATTTGACAAACACGTGCCAAAAAAACAAACTCTCTCCAAGGTTTCAGTTTACCAAATGACCAACACTTCTTGATGATATCAAAAGAAAGAAAGAACCTCAGACGAAATATCTCCCAACCAGCTCATCTCACACCCCTCCCCTTCACGTGAAAATGTCGTGATTGTAAGTGGGGGTGCCAATATATAGTGCAAAAATCTTTTTCTTTAAATTACCCATTGACTTCGATTCTTTTGTTTAATTCAACTTTTTATTATTATTTTTACTTCTCATGAATCTTTTTATAATTAAGCAAAAATATTGTCCCATATATAAAAAAAATTTAAAAATAAAAGATTCTCCATTAGAAAAGTAAATCAAAGGTTAGATTCCTCCAAGCCCAAAAATACACCCACACCCCCACGGATGGAACTTGTGCCCTAAATCACACCCTATGAGCATCCATGTGCCCTCATAAATTAATACCCTTGGGTCCCACAATATCTAGATTCTATTGGCATGCCCATCATCATGAGTACTAACATAACCCTTTCTTCTTCCTTTTTTTTATACAATTATATGTAATATTAACCCCTTCTTTTTAATTCTTACACTCTCACTCCCCCAATAGAGTGTAGTAATAGTTTTCCCACTTGTTTTTTTGTTTTTCATCCTCTTTTTTTTCCTGCCTTCTTGACATGTATAAATACCCCCTCTAACCCCTCAACTATTCCCAACACACCAACCAAAACCAACTTCTCTCTTCTCTTCCCAGCTTTATAAGCTTCTTATTACTCTTCTCTTCTTCTTTTTTTAAGCACTACATATTAGAAGAAACAAACAATAAAGACACAAAATCTAAAACCTAATAGGATCAATCAATCCAAGCAAGCAATCAAATCAAAATGTCTGGTGTTTGGGTATTCAAGCCTAATGGCGTGATGCACCTTGTGGAGAACCCGCAGGCGGAGTCGGCGGGGGACGGGAGGCACGGGTCATCATCCCGGAGGAATAAGGTCCTGGTGCACCTGCCAACCGGGCAAGTGGTGTCGTCATATTCGTCGCTGGAGCAGATATTGACAGGATTAGGGTGGGAGAGGTACTACGGCGGGGACCCTGATCTCTTCCAGTTCCACAAGAGATCTTCCATTGACTTGATCTCCCTCCCCAGAGACTTCTCCAGGTTTAACTCAGTTTACATGTATGATATCGTTATCAAAAACCCCAATATCTTCCATGTTAGAGATATGTGAAGAAGCTCATGATCATCATCCATGATCATGAAATCTCTTGCATTATAAATCTCTGCATGTGATGAATATCTCTCATTCCTTAGCTTGCTAGGAATCTTTGTTTCTTGTCGTTGGTTTTAGTTTGTACTTCAATTCTGTGCTTGGTTTCTAGCTATATATATATATATATATATATATGTATGTGTGTGTATCATGTAGAATAAGGTGTACTGTAGAATATTGGGGGTGTTTTCTTTTAGTCATGTGATGATCATTTGTAGTATTTTAGTTTGCAAGTTTGTGAGATCGGTTTGTATCATATAAAAATATTAATGCATTCCTCTGAATTCTCATAAGTACTTTTTAAGGATTTTTTTTTTTTTTTTTTGTAATACCAATCAAGGAATCATATATTAAGTGAAATTCTAGTAACTTGAAAAAAAAATTAAAAAAAGCTAATAATGTGAAGTAATATTTGTAATTATAAGACTCTCCCATGATTAATAATATGAATGGATGACTTACAAGAAGGAAACAAAAAGGTAATTCTCATGATCTCATGCACATATTGCCATGTCACTAGTGAGAAGAAGTGGCAATGAGTAGTGTGTTTCAAGCGAAGAGACAATAAGCACAGGAATGAAATTGACTTGTCAAGAAAATGCCATGATTTGATAGTTTGCTCAGTCACATGATCATGATCGCAAAAAGAGAAAGAAGATGCTTATAATATGTGTCGATTGCCTATAGGGCCACGTGTCATACTTTGGTATGTGTGACCCGAATATTTGAACAGTAACAACATTGATGGAGATTGTTTGTCCATTTAAGTTCTTCTGTACAAGTATAGTCATATATGTGTGTGTATATAATACTGTTCAAGCAAAAAAACTATAGCGTACAACAATATCTTTGAAATAAGTTGACATATATTTTACGTAATTTTCGAGATTCAAACATAAGAACTAGTTTGATATAAATTTATTTCCTTACAGACAAGAAAGAATAGTTAAAATCCAACAAAATGAAGTCATGCATTCGTTAAAAAAAAATGAAGTCATGCATGACGAAATTGATGTAATATTTCGAGGTCATGGACTTTTAAAAATTGGTATTAAAAAAAAAAAAAACTTACGTTTGAGACAGGAAAGAAAACACTATCAATATCTAAATAGAGAAAAGCGTAGAATAACTATTTACAGTCATTGGTGGTAGAGTTAGTAGACTAATTACAATACACAGCCAAAAAATTGATAAGGATTAATTCAAAGTTAAGAGGACCAAGATATATAACTGCAGTAGATATGTAACTAATACTGTGTTAGGACTTGGGATAATCTTTTGAGAAAATCAAGATTATTTTTACAACTTGTTCCCTAGCCATTTATCAATAAATGTTGACCTACAATTAAGAACAAGATCATATCAAAAATTAAGATTAAGAGATGATCTAAAGCTGGATTAAAGTTTATATACGTTTTAAGAGATGTCTAATATTGCTTATAAGTTTTCATAATATTTGCTAAAAAACTCATGCATGTCTCAGTGTTGACTTTGTTTATAGTTAGGATGGACGTCCACAAGGTTATTTTTCCCTATTGGGATGAAAGAATTTCTATTATATGTGTATATGTATATATAATATATACATATATATAATATTCAAGCATCCAATAAAAAACTAGAGACAGAGAGAAAAAGAGGAGTATAGTAGTACATAGAATCACTTGCCCAATCATACAAAGATCATACTTTTGTTGATTGGGTCGTGATGATGATCATTAGGATGATTCTACACATTAGTAAAAATAGGTATGCGTATATATATATATATATATATATTTATTTATATATATAGGTATATATATAGGCGAGGTCCCCTATCTATGGGAGTCATGAAGATACGGCAAAAAACGTACCTGTGGAGCTTCACGTGAAGCAGATGCTGACACCAGCTGACTACTTATGTGTCGGCTGCCACGTGTCCTAATGGGATGTGTCAGTTCATCACAACCTTTTTGTAATGGGGAAAAAGTCTAAAGGGACACTTGGCACATCCTTAAAATTGTAGCGGAAAAAGGAAAAAGGAATTAATCCGAAAGAAGAAATAATTAAGAATCCTTTTTTTTTTTTTCTGAAGAATATAAGTTTGATGTCGTCCTCACTAGAAGGTTTGATGCGTGACCACATTGCTTTTTTTTTTTTGTTCATAAATAGATACCTGGAAACCACACAAAACCCCTTAAGAGTGTTAATAATAATTCACGATACGAAAAATAGATATAATGGGAACAAACAAAAAGGAAAGCTAGCAAGTAGTTAAGTCTAGAGAAATCCAGGGAAATTGGAAGTTGTAGCATATATATTCATGCACGTAATCTTGTCATCGTACTAGTAGTACTAGTGTGTTCTGATAATCCATGGAAAATGCATGAAATTTGCTTGACATTTGTTTCTCCATATGTATCAGTTAGAAAATCAATTGAGTTGTTACAATAATTGCTTATAAGGTAACATATAAAAAAGTTTTAGCCAAAAAAAAAAAAAAGTTACTTGTTAGAGAGAAGGCTTTTTTTCTCTATCAGTTGGTACTGTTATTTTAACCGTTAGTTTAACATTTCAATTGTTAAATCTACGACTAGAAGCAGTTCTGCGTTAGATTAATTTTTCAACAATTAGATCTATGACCGGAAGTAGTTCTGCGTTGCACATCTCATATTTTAACATGAACACTCGCAGATATGATTGTTAAAAAATAATCCAACGGTTAAAACAAAAGTACATACCAGTAAGATAAAAAAAGTCTTTCTTATCATAAAAATTACCCTTACAATTATATAAAGGGTGATTCTATTCACATACCTTTTTTTTTCTCTCCACACCTCTATTTCAATTAAAACTTCTTATTGAAAAGGACCCTCATATAAAATGACAAAAAGGGACAATTATGATAGACTTAATTACATATTAAATCTTATCATAAAAAAGAAATTAATGATTTTTTTCGATCTCCACACACCCCATATGATATCGTATCCCCAAATTATAAACTAGTGTTATCAAAACCTTAATTTTTATTTTTCACTTTTCAATGACTATTCCAAAACATTGCATGGAAATATACTATTTTTTTTGTTCTATTTATTCTATGACAATTGTCCATTTATCTTTCGTCCATTTCGTGTGTGTGTGTGTGTGTGTTTTTGTTACTAATCATTTAATTTTCTTAAGACATCATATAATTTTTCATTTTTTTTATAAAGTTTTGTTGATTGCATATTTTCCATTTCATTTTTTTCCCATGTGGTCATATGCTTTTTAACTTTTTTTTATCAATTTGTCTTCAATGATCATACATTTTGATATGATCAAATTACGTTGTTGTTCTGTTTAGCTTTTTATTTATTATTTTGAGTTTTTTTGCTTTCGGTTTTTCTTTTTAATTGTTTATTTTGCTTTTTTTTTTCTTTTTTCTTTTTGATTATGCCGCTTGTTTTATTTTTTAAATGACAAATTAAAATAAAATGGTGGTTGTAAAGAGAAAAATGAAGTGCTCAAAACATTAATAATCTTATTAAAATAGTTAAGGTCAATTCTGGAATAATAGAGGTGTGTAAAAAATAAATCTAATCTTTAAAAATTATGTAGGGTGAGTAGTTAAAAGGGGATGTAGAGAGTAAAAAAGGATGTGCGAATGGAATCACGCCCTTATATAAAAGTCTTTCGGTTACACAAAATTAGTAAAAGCTTTGAAATATACATCTCTAGTTATGGCCTTTGTGTAGTCTTGTTTGTTTGTGTTTGTGTGTATTTAAAAAGTACACTTGGCATATTTTATAGCAATGTTGGTCTAGAAGATTATTTGATAACTAAAAGGTACATATACTAGGGTTTCATGATCAGTTTAAGAATGAAGGTGTGCTCTCATAAATACCCAGCAAATGACTGGAAGGATAATCAAAAAGTAAACTAAGAAAACTACAAGATCGATACTCATGATTGTGTATCTATGGAGTTTCTATTGTGAGAAATTTTATTTGTTTATCAGAAGGTTACTATATAATACATATAGTTGATGTTGATCTGTCCTTTAGCAACATATTTTACTGCCGGCTTGATCTTGCATGTGTCTATAGAAATTAATGAAACGCAAACCATGGATATGTGTAATCATTATAATTATTTCCAATGCACAGCAATATATTATTCACGAACAGATTAATAAAAAAAAGTTGGTAATAGAGATTAAGATATATAAATTAGTATTGGAAATGATTATAATTACCCAGGTCCTAGATTGGAAAGACAATGAAAAACCAATATTAGCTACTAGCTTGCATACTGATCAGGATCACTCATTACATGTATGATGTTTGTGTGTCCGCGCACTTTGTAATTCATATCGAATTTTTAGTGTTACTTTGGTATTAATGGAGACTACATATATACATATACATATACATTGTAGCATTGTAGCATTCTAGAAAAGAAAAATCACAATGACAGAAATGAAGAAAACTACGCGAGCTGGGAATTATACACATTCCAATTTGGCTCAGAATACACCTTTCGTAAGTCCCAAAGAAAATCACAATAATTATCAATTTTACCCCCAGAACCGTTTTGGAGTGATGTACAAGTTCTGAGCTGGACAAAGTTATCCCAAGGTTGGACTAAATTTTCCCAATCCATTATTTCTGACTAATTATGTCAGCACTAAGATGTTTAATTGGCTGAATATGTAATTAGTTTGTAATTAGCTTGCCACCTTTTAAAACTGTTTGGAACATGGACACATGAGATGAAACCATTGGAATAAGATTTTGGACGGATCCCATTCTGCTCACATTGATAAATCTATAGATTATAAAGTTGTTTAGATTGTTCAAGAGTTATATATATATAAGAATTATTTGGAGTTAGAACATCATGATCTGTTCTTACACCTTGTGTTGTGGGATATCAATGAAGCGCCTACATCCAAATTACTTGAGTCTTTTTAAGAGTCCTAGGAAGCTATTAAAGTACCTTGTTCTATTAATGCCTGCTCTTTTGATTTAGGTTTTGCCGAAGCTGTCCCCCCGTTCTGAAAGCAAAGTGCTTTCAGCCTTGAATTTTGCTGTTTTTGTATCTCTTTTCTTGGTTTTTTTTATTTATTTATGTTTTTTTTTAATAACGAAAAGGGTTATGGGGATAAAAGATGGCGTACCCAGATAACTTTTATGGAGGCATTTAACCCTACAAATGTGACAATCCCAACTCCAACACATGATTTCTGCGTGGGGCTAAGTAGGGCTAGCAATTTGTGTGTTGCGTATCGTGTTCGGGATGACACGATTATATTAAATATAAACACGACACGATTAATAAACGTATCAAAAACTCAAACACGAACACGAAACGCTAATAAGACGGTTAACACGACACGACACGCAAACATGATTACTAAACGGGCCGTGACTAGTAGACACAAAAAAACACGTTTATGACCCAACTAGCAAAAATAGCAAAATTTAATATTGTATTCAAAACTAATATTAATTAACTACTTAATATCACTTATAGTCAAAATCTGGCGAGCATATAATAAGAAAAACATAAATTCTCCAATTCTCCATAATAGCCAACACACATAAAAATATTCAAATATCAAACACACACACATATATGATAATACTAGATTATCATGTATATATGTTTCAAAACATGACCAATTACCAAATATCCAAAGAAGTTTGAAAATATAACCAAGTACATCTAAATAAGTTTAAAAACATAACCAAACATTTAAATGTTTAAATGCATAAAACATAAAATAAATATAGGAAAATGTCTTATTTGATGTTGAATGCCTAACTACGCTCTAAAATTAGTATCCAGTTACTTTAACCTATTCATGGATGTCTTTTTATAAATGTCATAAGGTTGAATGTCTTTTTTAATTTTTTATAAATTTTTTATTTTTGTATATGGTTTATAAACGGGCGGGCCGTGCCGTGTTGTGTTGATCCGTTAATGACCCGTATAACTAAATGGGTTAAGCGTATTAAACGGACTGACACAAATCCAGCCCATTTATTTTTGTATTATTCGTGTCAACCCGTTAACGACCTAATTAATAATCGTGTAATTCAAACTTATTTATCTCATATCGTTTCATCGTGCCGTGTCTAAAATTGTTAGCCCTAGGGCCAAGTGGGATTATCATCTTGCAAGGCTCTGGTTATGTCACCTTTTCTTGTTAATCCGCTTCACCACCAGCAAAAAATGACATAAAACGGATGATGTATGCCGCGTGCACAGCATTTGGATTGGAGGAGCGTAAGAAGCTTTACAATAAGGAACCAATATCACCAAGCTATGCCTTGAAAGAAATCACCCCACAATTCGTGTAACTTATAATCATCTATAAGATGAGGAATATTTTTATCACCATTAATGATGCAGTTATCGCATATATAATGGTATATTAAAATTGCAGAATGAAATCCGATTCTTTTATTTTGTCTCCAATGATAACAAATAACAATGCTTAAAAGATAAACACATGATTATATAGAACTCCTTTTAGGGGCAAAAAAAAGAAAGAAAAAGGATGCTTTTTTTTTTTGGGTTAATTCCAATATAAGGTACTGACCAATTCCCGTTTAGAACATTGGCACAACTTCCTGAATGATGAAATTCACTCAACCAAAGTCTAATTATTAGACTTTTTTCTCAAATAAACTTCAAAAGATTTTGGAATAATCTGTTTATCTTTCCTCTCATTTTTCAAGGTAAGTTAGAAAATCTTTAACATTACACAGATCAAACAGATGCTGCTTCATGTCACCAAAACAAAAACAAAAACAAAAAAACAAAAAACGGGTTCGGTTCTAACTAAGGCCGGTAATATGGGTCACGACACGACTCGAAAACGATACGAATTTTACGGGTTAGGGTTGAGAAAAAAGAAGTTCGGGTCAGAATTAGATCGACTTGAAATTGACACGAAAAATACAGGTCAATTTCAGGTTGGACCTGCCTAACCCGAACACGACACGAAACTCGTAAAAAACTAAAAAATACATATATTTTTCATTTCATATTTTAAATTTTATTATGAACTTATGATATCATGATAGTTATACTCAAAATCTTATACTATTATTTGCTTAATTTCAATGGATGTTATTGTAATTTAGTGTGTTATGAATTTTAAGTTATTTCTAATATGTCAAAAACTAAACAAAAGTATACAATTTTCGTGTCAATTTCGGGTTCACGGCTCAATTTCATGTCACGGGTCATTTTCGGGTCGTGTCGTGTCAGCTCGTAAAGTGGTCGTGTCGTGTTCGTGTTGCGGTTTTTAAAAAATTTCGTGTCACGGGTCGTGTTCAGATTGACTGAAAATTTTAAAAAAACGATCAAAACACGACACGAACACGACACGTGACACGAATTGCCACCCCTAGTTCTAACTATATATCTACTACGGGAACGCCTTGAAAAGTACATATGATAGACTGCCTGTTCAAAACAGTAGAAAGAAATATAAAGTAACAGCATTCAGAAAGGTACTGCAAGATGAGGCTAAATTCCAGAAGATTTATCGACCCTATGCAGCTGATTTGAAGTGAAATTCATCAATTGTGGAATATATCAGACCTTCATCCTCTAGAGATCTAATTGATTCCCTGGTACAGAAAAGTGAGATTTTATGAATTTAGATTTTTCTCTCTGCATGGAGTATGTTCCAAACAAACACGAAAATAGGAAAACAGGAAAAAAAAAAATGTGTATGTATACATACATATATATATATATATATATATAGAGAGAGAGAGAGAGAGAGAGAGAGAGAGAGATACATTATTTTCTCCACGGGAATTTTTAGCTGTTGGGAAAGTTCATCTCTATGTATCCCCTTCTCCTTCACACTACAATCAAGAACCGTCCAAAATAGTTCAGAACATGCAATATAAAGAAAGAAAATAAACTAACATGAGAAAATTCTGATAAGCAGAATTGTCATTGCACATTAAACCTAAAGCTTGGCATTTACAACTTAGAGACAGCTAAGCCATCTTATAGTAAACAAGGCAATACTGATGAAACCAAAAATGAAGGATAAAGCGCACCAACTTACCTGCTTGAAGGCAGCTGCAGATAGTCGAGGATCAACTGGTCACAGCCTTTTTGTGCATCGAAACTAATTTGCCCAGATAGCTAGAAGAAACGAATATGAATTATTTTACTTATGTCAAACTACTCATTGACAGAAATATCTTGAAAAAATAAATTGTTGGCCAAAACTCGTACTTGACTTAATGAGGATGAGGCTGTCTGATATCCATTTGATCCACTTCTCAGAGGAGTGCTCAAAGATGCATCTGCAGTCTCAGGTTGAGTGGCAGAATTTCCTTGCTGCTTGAATCGGTACAAGAAATCAACAAATATATACAAAGAGTAAGACACAAGATATATGAACATAAACATATATAGTTATGTACCATGCAATTATGGCCAGCTTGGTTTCACAGTTACACTACTGTTCTTACGTTTTATAAGTGACATGAAGAGTGGGGATCTCCATTGAGCACAGTATTGAGAAGATCCTCACTCCCCATTTAACTTTAGAAACAAAAAACGATCAAACAAACCAGCATGCCTGTAATTTTCACATTTGTAATAAAGACAAGGCATTCATATCAGACAAAAAAAAAAGAGAGAGATAAGACATTCGCATATTACTAATGCACAATGTCGCACGTTTAACTTAAGTACCCGAGATTTGGAACTCTGCAAGTGGTTGTGTATGCAATCGATAAAGTGAAACGAAATTTCATCAAATTTCGTCACAGGCCTGAAACACAAGGAAAAAAAAAGTTAGATATTATCATGTACTACAACCGGCAGAATAGACGACCGAGATGCTCAAGAAGCTTTTATTTTTCACCATGGGCTTCAAGTTCCGCCTCTATAATGATTTTGTGACTCGTATTTTCACTTTAGATATGAAAAAGATAATGCCTATCTGGAAGGAAAAAGAAAAAGGCAATTCACTAGAAAAGAGAGAGAAAGTTAAGCCGTAACTGTATCACTGCAGAAAGTGATAAAAAGCGTTAACATTGTTGTGCTTACTTATGGGAGCATACACTTGACTAATCGCAAATTGTAGCTATTAGTGATGGAGGCAGAAATTTTTTTCAATAGGGCCGCCGTAAAAAAAAAATAAAAGTAGTATTCAATAGTCATATATTTCAATTATTCAACTAGGGCACACAGCATATTTCATTTAATGTAGTAGGGGCACATTTAAAATTTTTCTTGTAAAACGGAGCATAAATAAAATACAAAAGTTGAGTGGAGGCACGGCTCCCCCTCACAACAATGTGGCTCTGCCACTAATAACTATCCCTGATTGTAAGTACCTCAGTAATGTAGTTTCTTATTTGATTTTATCTTTCATGTATGAAAATACTCCCTCTTGAGTTCTTAACAATACACAATTTAGAGAAAGTTATCATTTTGAATTCTCTTTTTATGTTTTCATAGTATTAAAGCAGGAAGAGTTCAGACACTTATAATTGTACTCACCATATTTCATCATTTAATATGTTTTGGGCTTATAATTAAATATTTACGTGTTGATCCGAAATAACTCTCTTAAAAAAAAGTCACCAACTGTTGATATGTTTTGTGCTTATGTAAACAACAACCTTAAATGGAAATCCATGGTTACATTATCCAAAAAAAAAATCAATAGTAATCCCTACAGCAACAACTTCGCAAACCTATTCGAACAAATTTGACAAAATAAATCCACAAAATTCAAAATGTCTAAATTAAAAAAGGAAAGGAACTGTTTGAGCCATACCTCACAGAGAAAGCACCTATTTGTCGATTACCTTGAAAGATTTTCAAGTGCCCATTAACACGAACATACATGCCATCTCTATTGCAAAATAAATTACAGATCAGAATAACCTTATAATACAATACCAAAACTTAAGTCTTATATACAAATATTACTAAAAAAGGACAGGAAACTTAACTGTATTCCTTCCACTTCCTTTGCATCAAAACTCTCATTCACCCTGATAACAAGTTAACATGGTTTTAACTAGTATTCTGCATGACACAAACTATCCAAGAATTCCCATATTGCATGCCCATATATAAAAATTATTGTTGCACATAGTGTATGTCCAGTTACATTCATATGATTGGTTCATGCATTATCATTATTGGATTTACATTATTAAAAGCACCTTTTTAGCTCACATATGCGGATTTGCATCAAACTAAACTCTTAACAAGCAAAAAAAGAAGTACAGCCAAACTTTGAACAATATGTAATTCTACTGTGCAAAAGGAATTCTGAAAAAACTCGAACCATTACCATCTTCTGCAGCTGATTCGTCCAGTTCCATCGTCGAGGAAAAAACTGACATCAGTATTTCTCTCTGTTTTTTCAAACACCATCCCAACCATAGTAACCTAAAGCAGTCAGGAATAAAAAATCTCAGATATTAATGACAACAAAAGACAAGGCCTTTAATATGGTAATTCATAGTCTTTATGGATTTTAGAATATAGCACAAGAGGGGGGGAAACGAATACTTTTTCAGCAACAATATAAATAGCATACATTAGCAGCTTCAACACCATTGATCACAAAATTCGATTTTTCATCACCAGAATGATCTGCTTCACTTATTTGCTTCACAGTCACCGGAATCAATCTATTAGTTTGGCGACCCTGTAACAGTGATGAAAAACAAATTATAACAATTAGGAACCAAAGAAAAGGACAATACACATACATATCTTGCTTTCTCCGACGATAATTAGGAAAAATTAATTTCTCTCTCATACGAGAAACTATTCGAAAGTAGAAATTAAATTCACTCAAGACACCTAATCCAACAATTTTATTAAAAAAAGTTGAAAATTTAATTGCGGATCACATCAAAAAATCGTAAACGATCTATTACATTTCTCAAAACAAAACTTTATAAACAAAAACAATGTCCGTTAATTTCTTTTTCTTTTCCCCTTCTCTTCATTTTCATTATGTTTTGGTGCTAGATCCTGGGTGACATAGACAAGGCATCGTCAGGGCTTTCCCTAATATACAATATCCCCTTTCCCGCACTTTCTCGGAAGCCAAACGGGAGAAAAGGCGTATTTTAAATAAGTTAAAGAAGGGCTTACCCTCGCCGGAGACGGAGCGGCATCGTTGGCCTGAGTTGACTGCGAAGACATGAAGCCGCCGCCGGAGAATGGGGTGGAGGAATCGAACTGGCTGGAGGAGAACATCTCTGGAAACCCCAGAGACAAAAGTGAGAAAATTTTTGGGGGGACAAATCTCGATTTTACGAGGAAGAAAGCAAAATAAATTAAGAAAAGAGGAATTTTAGACGGTTTTATCTTGCGCATAATTAAAAAAAAAAAAAAAAAAAAAAAAAAAAAATTCAGACGGTTTTCCCGCCAAGTTGCTCTAATTTTCCCGCCAAGTTTTTTATTTTTTGGGTTAATAGATTAAAAAGTCCCTGAATTAAAGTTTATGACAAATTGATCCCAAAACAGATTTAATAAGTTAAATTCTCCTTGAATTACACTTGTAGTTGCAATGGTGGTCCAATCTGTTTGGGGAAGTGAATCACGTGTGTTTCACGTGAGTGAAACCGTTATTTCTGATAGCAAGATAATAGAATTACCATGTTTGCTCACATTTTTAAACTTTAGGCAGATTTTAGCTCATTAATTTAGTTCGGGAACCAATTTGTCACAAGCTTAAAAGCTCAAGGACCTCTGAAGTTATTAACCCTTATTTTTTTTCTTTTTTGGAGCAAACGACGTAAACATTGAACAAGAAGTTCTAAACAACAATAAAAAGGAATAACACCGAGGAATACACGATCTCAATAAATGTGAAAAATGACGATAAAATACAAAACGACAATCGTAGAAAACAATGATCCAATGGCGCAAAACTAGAATGACAATTAAAAGGAAAATACGATAAATGGGAAAACAAAAGGAAAGTCTAAACAACATTGAAATAAGCAAACGACACAAATAGTAAACGGCAGGAAGTGTTGAAACGACGTCTAGAAGACGGAAAATGAACAATGTCAATGTCCAAATAACGACAATTAAAATTAAAAAGGTGAGATTATGCATCAAGAAATAAGACAACGATAAAGGTCGCGAGCATAATTCCACACTTAGCGATATAATACCACAGAATGACAATAATAACAAAATAACATTAGAAATAATGTATAACAGTGCATTATAAACGACTGAAACAAAATAATAATAATAATAATAATGGGAAAATTAAAACAACAACATACGCGAAAACAATGACAATAAGGCAAACTAAAAAAAAAAACGTAAAATTTTATTTAAAAAAACGTAAAAAACAATATGAGGGACGACGTCGAAAAATAAAATGAGCGTGATGGCAATAAGAAAACGAGAACAATAGAAAAAACTTACGGACCTGTTTAGTTTCGTTTTTGTTTCTATTTTTTCCGTTTTCGAGGTTAAAAAATGAAAATGGGTAGACAAAATGCGTTTGGTGTAAAATTTTCTGAAAATTAAAAACAAAAACGCTTTTGTCTTTTTTTGAAAATCTGAAAACAAATTAAGATCGTTTTCTCCGTTTTCGTTTTTGTTTCCTTCTTCTCCCATTTGCATCTTTCGAAGCATTTCTCTCCTCACTCTCTCTCTCTCATGAGCCTCCGCCAGCAACCATCCCCACCGTCGCGTCTGGGCCCGGCAGCGGCGGGAGACCCGGAGTCGGAGCCGTACAACATAATGAAAACGTTTGCGCAATGGCTCGAGCCGCGGCGGCGGCGCTGCGAGCCGTCAGGAACCTCCGTCGGCTGCCGTTCACGCAATGGCTCCCTCACATGGACCTCCTCGATTAGCTCGCCCTATTCTTCGACTTCCAAAACGATAGAGTTCGAAACTAGAGGGAGCACCTCGTCCTCCACCTCGCCAACGCCCAAATGCGCCTCTCGCCGCCGCCAGACAACATCGATACACTCGATGCTGGCGTCCTGCGTCGCTTCCACAAGAAGTCCAACATTTGGATCTCCGACCGGGTTGAAATGGCCTGTTGATGTTGGGAGCAATTTCTTTGTGACTTCTAGTAGGAGTAGGCATGTGGGTAAGACCGGGTTTGTGGGGCAGAGGTCGTTTTGGAACTTATTTAGAAGCTTTGATAGGCTTTGGATCATGCTCATTTTGTTCCTTCAGGTGGCCATTATTGTAAAGATCACTTGGAAGTTGAAAGATGGTAAATGGTTATGCGTTTCTAAAGCACAATAAACGGCATTAAAATTTAATGTTATTCTCAGGTTTTTTGTCGTTCATCATGTTTTATATATCCTTTTTACTTTTTAGACGTATTTTTGAAGATTACTAGGAAGTATGTTTTATATATTATTATTTAAAATACTATTATATGTTTTTAAAAATTAAACCACCAAACGCAGTTTCAGTTTTTTTTAAACTGAAAACAATCTCAAAATAAAACTATCAAACGCATTTTCAAAAATGATTCCAAAATGAAAATGAAAACGTTTTCATTTTCATTTTCATACAGAAAATAAAATCATTTTGGAACGAGTTCCAAACGCACCCTACATTTTTATTTTGCTTTGCTAGGGTTTGGTTTACATTATTTTTCTTATGCGCCGCTTCAATTGTAGGCTTCACTGGGCTAGAGTCCGGCGCTGCCGTAGGGCAATGCTCCGGACTTCTGGCCCTGAGGGAGGGTCACAAGATGCAGAGCTTGGATCTCTTTAGGAAGGCGTCGTCGAGTTTGTGGGTGGGGAAAGAAGAGCGGCGGTTAGGGGGGATTAGCACAACATCCATTTAGCTGTCATCCTTAGAAGAATCCTTACTCTGGTAGATCTAAGCCCTTCGATGTTTGGCTCCCTCAAATCAGTAATTCCTTCAAGGGGGCTGGTGGTTGGTTTGACAATCAAAGATGGTGATAGAAGAGGCGGGCTGAATGTCTCTTCCGAGTAGCGTGATGTGCTGCGGCTCTCTCGCCCATACGTGGTGGTGCTCAGCACGTCATCAAAGTCTCTATCGGTGTTTTTTTAGTGTTTACTCTCTTGTTTAAATTTGTACATTTGTAATGAGGTGTTGATATTTTTATCGTTATGTTTTAGTTTGTTTATATTTAGTTGTTGGTCGCTGGCGTGTGTTCATCCTTGTATTGTTTTAGTGTGTCGTGTCACTGATGCCCTCTCGTTATGGGGTTTGGTAATCATATATTCAAGAGTGCGAAAGTTTATCTCGACAGGAAGGGTTTCTTCTACTAGAGTCTTGACTGTGCTCGTTGGTAGTGTGCCAAGGTGTTCTCTTATTTTTATGCCTCAGGCATGCCTCGGTTCACTTATTAAGTCACTAGTCTTGGCTTGTACATTTGTATTTGATGTAGTTGCAAGTGCCGATATGACATCAATTATCTAATAATAACATAGCTTTTTCTTTAAAAAAAAAAAAAAGAAGAAGAAGAAGAACACGAGAACAATGACAAACAAGCAAAGCGAGAAACAACAATTAATTAGAAAATGACAATAAATGAAAATGGCAACAAAAAAAAATCAAATTACCAAGTAAGAACAAAAAATAAACCATAAGAGATGATGATGTGTATTTGTGAACGCATATTGACAACAATAATAAATCTGTTACTATATGAGGCGGAACAACCCAGGCCAGAGGTAAAAGATGTATGAAATAGCCTAAGATTTATCTCACGTAGAGCTTTACTATCAATATTTTTCTCTTGCATAGCTTTATTATTATTATTTTTGGAGTTACATTAAACCCAATTGAGAACGAAGCACAAGCACAATAATTCCCCTATGTTATTCAGCGGAAGTAACAGTTTGACTGTTTTACTTGTTGTAAATACATATATGATCTCTGATTATTTCTCCATGACTATTGAGAGCGTATTTTGCATATTTATTCTTTGAACTTATAAGATTTTTGCAACTTGCTCCCGAATTTTTAATTTTGACGATTTGTCTCACAAATTTGTAAAATTGATTTGTCCTTTTTTATAATTTTGTTTTGATTTAATGAATTAAAAGTTGAGAAATTAATAAATTTATATTGCAATTTGAATTAGAATTTTGGGGGTTTTTTTTTTGTCAAATGTGTTTTTTTATCGTCATTTTAACACAATTATTATCAAAGCATGCTACAACTATTTTATAAACGAGGGATACATTATTAAAATTAGAAATTTAGACGGTTCGGTTCAGGGGTAAATGTGCAAAACGCCTTTAGTGAAATTAAAATCTTTATGTGGTTGGCTGGTCACAAGCGCAGTTTAATTGTAATTCCATATCTAACTTTATTATAAGGTGTAGACTTGAATCTCCCATCTCAAGTAAAAAATAAAATAAATTATAATATTTATTTTTTATTTTAAAAATGGTATGACGCGCATGCGTTGCACGTGCGCGACTGGTTGATTGCTTAACACCTGAACTGCTGGGCAGCTATGAGCCAAGCATTGGCTTCTGCGTTTTAGACCGAAATTCATACAAGCATTCCACTTGCCAAATTTTTGTGTGGTTCCCATTTTTTTCCATCAATTATTTTACATGAAAAAAAAATTACTTTCGCAATGAAACTGATTTTTAAAGTTCGCTGCTTCTTCTTCCAACGACTCTCTCTAGCCCGTACGGCAGCACATTCACCACTATCTTCTTCTTCTTCTTTTCTAGGGTTTTGATCTCACCATAATTCTACACAACACAGTTGAAATCAGGAACTATGGATTTCCTCTGTGTAAATTCTACACACAAGAGTCAGTTTCTTATCAATCGGGCGATCCCAAGCCAGAGAAGAAGAGGAAGTGACAGGAAGAAATGCTTCAGATTGCGATTTTCAAATTTCGCTGCTTCGGTGGCCAAGAACGGGGTGATTACAAAGAGGAATTCGACGTCCACAGGCGGCGGCGGCGGAGATGGGAGCACGGCGTTGGTGGTTGGAAAGTCGAGCGCCGCCATGGAGCAGCTCGACATCGAGCGTGGCGTTTGCATACCGTTTCGCAAGTACACTCCCGATACAGTACGAAAAACTTTGTTGAATTTGTTGCCTTATATGAGTATATATATATTATACATATTATGTGTTAATTTTATGTGTGTTAATTCTATCGTTGATCCTAAACTATAAGGGAAATCTCGTTTTAATTTCTGCAATTTAAAATTAATAGCAAGTCCTCAACTTGCTACAAAGTTTCTCTGTGGACATTTTCTAATACGGTTGAAAATGGCTAAAACGAAATTTTGTGATATTGACAGAATTAATCCTCGTTTGAAATGAATATTTCGTCCTTGAGTCTAACGGAAAATGAATAGTTTCTGAACTATTGTCTGGTCAGCCAATGGAAAGACCAGTGAGGAGCTTCTTTGACAAATTTAGAGAGAACTATTTAGTATTTACTGCTTTTAGTTTAAAGTTTAAGGACTAGGATTAGAGTCTTATTGTTGTTATGAACTTGATCTCTTTAATACATTGGACTATTAACACGACGTTAGTTCGGCTGTCAATTCTTCAATTTGTCACGTGTTTTCAGTTTTCACTGAAATTGATGATAGCGTTATTGGTTACATCATAGATATCGAAGCTGTAGAGATTTTATTTTCCTTGAATTGGACTTCATGACGATATTATTCTTATCTCTAAACAGGTTAGGAATAAGGTGTTAGAATCTAGAGGAGCTGTCGCGTCATTAATTCTTCGAGGTGTGGAGATAGTGTGGAATTTGGGATTGTACTGGTCAGCCTTGATGTACGATTTCTTGGTTGGAAGGGATGAAGAGGTCGTCCCATTTCGAGCTCGGCAGCTTAGGAATCTTTTATGTGATCTGGGACCTTCTTTCATCAAAGCTGGTCAGGTTTGTGCTTCAATTTTATTCTTTTCGTTTCTTGATTGACCAACTTGAGTCACGATTTGTTTTGCTCCATGCCATAACTTTGTACGTGTTCAATATTTCTAAACCTAGCAATTACATTTAATGCTTACTTATGGTTAAAATAATAAAATAATTGCTGAATTTTAGGTCCCATTGCTGTAAATGACTGTGTTACCAAGGTGTTCTAAGTTTCTTCTGGTAACTTGAAGCTAACCTTTATTCCGACTACATTTAGAGGAGTTGATTGTAATTTTCCATGCCTTTATTTCCATGAATGAAGTATTTGATCAATTGGTGGATGGAGCTTGAGTTAAAGTTTACAAGAAACAAAAGTTTTAGACTGGAGTCATTTAATCATACCTGTGTGTTTTCTAATTATGCTTTTCAAGAGATTTCCTTTGTGTTTTAAAGAGCAACCAAAAAAAACAAAACAAAAGTTGTTTGATGGAGTTGAAATACAACAGCTTCGTTGTGTTCGTGTGTTTCAATTTTCCTAACTTGAGTATGAGAAATTGATTTTGACAGGTTCTTGCAAACAGACCTGATATTATTAGAGAAGATTATATGAACGAACTTTGCATTCTTCAAGATGATGTTCCTCCTTTCCCTAATCAGGTAAACTCTAGCTGTAACACTTCAATTGTGATTTGTCCTTTTACTGTGCTGGGCTTAAATAGACCAAAAGAAGTATGGTTTGCCATTTAGGTTGCTTTCAAGATAATAGAAGAGGAATTGGGCCAACCCCTTGAAGCTGTGTTCAGTAAAATTTCATCTCAGACAATAGCAGCAGCAAGTTTGGGTCAAGTTTACCGAGCTACATTGCGTAGCTCTGGCCGGGATGTTGCTATTAAGGTATGACGCTTATCCAGTGTCCTCCAAGGGAAGAATAATGTCATATAGCCTTGATTTTTTATATTTTTCTTGCCAAAAAAGTGTCTAAAACTGTCATTGTTAACTTATTACAGGTTCAAAGACCAGAGATAGAGCCTATAATATATCGGGATCTTTTTCTTTTCCGTACTCTGGCTTCATTCTTGAATGGCATTAGTCTACAGAAACTGGGCTGCAATGCTGAGCTGATAGTTGATGAATTTGGTGAGAAGCTTCTGGAGGAACTTGATTATACTTTGGTACATTTCAGATCTTCCTTTTAATTTGTCGTCAAAATTGACTTTCTTAGCCCGAGTTGAAAAACTAATTATCAATCCTTGGTCAGAAAGAAAACTATGTTTTCTCATATTTGGTAAAAAGGTGAACTCGTAACAATGCACAAAGGATGAAGAATTTTGGTTTTTATATCTTTTATACTCTTAGATTTGTTATCAACGCTTATATGCTTTCTCATATTGGCATCTTTTTATGCCTGATGTCTGTTTTCCAATCTCAGGAAGCCCGTAATTTGGAAGATTTTCTTGAGAACTTCAAAAATGATCCTACTGTCAAAATCCCTCGATGTTACAAACAACTTTCTGGTCAGCGAGTTTTAGTAATGGAATGGATTGATGGTATTCGGTGCACTGACCCACAGGTATAGTTGTCAAGATAGAAAATTTTATTCCGTTTTAACCTTATTCTATAGGAAATACAAAATGCCACCTTCTGTAACCATAATGGGCAAATGTATTTCAGGCAATTAAAGAAGCTGGCATTGATGTAGGTGGGTTTTTAACTGTTGGAGTGAGTGCTGCATTGCGGCAGTTGTTGGAGTTTGGGCTATTTCATGGAGATCCACATCCTGGAAATATTTTCGCCATGCGTGATGGACGTATCGCATATGTGGACTTTGGGAATGTTGCTGTGCTTAGTCAGGTAAACTAGGACTTCAAAGATGTTCACTACCAATAGCCCTGAAAAGTAAATTTCAATAGAATTGTGATCTATATATAATTATACATGATTTCTATCATTTTTTTTTTTTTTGCTTTTTCAGTTAATCTGGAATTCGAATGGATTTTCTTTCTCTTTTTCGGGACTTCTCATTTGCCCTTTTCCGTCTTTCAGCAAAATAAGCAGATTCTGATTGATGCTGTTGTCCATGCTGTAAATGAGGACTATGCTGAGATGGCGAATGACTTCACAAGGCTTGGCTTTCTGGCTCCTGGGACTGATGTCTCTCCCATTATTCCAGCTCTAGAAGCAATCTGGCAGAACTCTGCTGGAAAAGGACTTTCTGACTTTAATTTCCGAAGTGTTACCGGTAAATTGATATCCCAATTGGTTGTTACATATTCCAGTTCTTTTTTTTTTTTTGAACACCCTTTACCTTTCAGCTTCCTAAATCCCATTGTGTTTTGCCGAGGACTGCAAATTATTTCCAATTGCTATATAGTTTTGACCTCTATGCTGTGCTTTGCAAGCAACAGCTTTTTAAAATTTGTGTCGTCTGCACTGCAGGGAAATTTAATCAATTGGTCTATAATTATCCCATTCGTATCCCAGAGAGGTTTTCTCTTGTTATTCGTTCTTTATTGACTCAGGAGGGCATCTGTTTCACTCTGAAGCCAGATTTCAAATTTCTTGAGGTAGGGACAGATTCGTTCTCTTTATTCAGTTCTCAGGCAGCACATTTATTGTGTTTATTCACACACATAGCAATGTAGTATTTAAGGGATAAATATGATACGTGATCAATATTGTCCTTCTTTTATCATGTAAATATTGACGTTATTTGTCAACTAGGTGGCCTATCCGTACATAGCAAAGCGCCTCCTAACGGATCCAAACCCTGCTCTACGAGAACGCCTTATACAGGTCAGTGCAAAGCCATTCTGCAACTTTTTCGTGCTGTTGAAATTTTAAAACTAAAGGATTCTGGCCTTTATTTGTTCTTTTCTTTATCTCACTATTATATATATAACTGATGACGTATAGTCAAAATGTATGAAGGGTATTGAGCTTTTTCTTTTTCTTTTTTTTCTTTCTCCTTTTCCTTCTTTTCTTTCCTTATTGTTTCAATGGACCATAAACTATAGACAGTTTCTCACGTCATAAAGTCTTGATGATAATCAATTACTTATGTCAGGTTCTATTTAAAGATGGTGTTTTTCAGTGGAAACGGCTTGAGAATCTTATTACTCTCGCAAAAGAAAACGTGGCCAAGATGAGTAGCAACCCTGCATTGCAAGTGAAGGACACGTCTGTAACTTTGTCGCTGCTCTGCTGATTTCGTTATTCTTCTACTTGAAAGTACTAAACAAGCTATATTTTCTCGGTCGTTTTCTCTGCAGTCGAACAACTAGAGGCTTGAAAGTTGAAAGTAAATTGGATCTCACAGACACCATGAAAGACGGAGCTCGTTTATTCTTTCTCGATGAAGGAATCCGTCGACAACTTCTTCTTGCTTTGACTGAAGACTCGAAGCTTCACATTCAAGAGGTTAGCTAATACAAACCCATTCCTTTTCCTTTCCTTCTGAAAATAGAGGTAGAGGAGATAATTTGGGTTAGTAGCAATACGGTTACGAGACCGCCGCTAACTATCTTCCTGTCTTCTATAGCTTGTAGATGTATACAGACTCGTCCAAGATGAGATAGACATAAGGTTGGTAGCCATGGAAGTTGCAAGAGGTAAAAGCTTCACTTACGTTTTTGAACTTTTTAAGGGACAGATTAACGTAGTTCAACATGTCATAAAACCTTTTATATTGCTCTTCAAATTACTGTAATTTTAATTTACAAACACTTTTTTATGTTTGGGACTCGCAGACTTTCCGACTGTCGTTCGAGATCTCATGCTTTCTTGGAGTGAATCAATCTTGTCAGACAGATAGTTAGAGCGTTGGAGTAGCTGCAAAAACCACACCAATTTTACTATACTGCAAGAGAAGTTTTGCTTATATTTTGGCCAAATTTTACCAGTTGGAGAACTAGAGCCTGTTGAATTAAGCTGTAGATATTTCAGCAAATTGTAAAGTTAACAAACATTTTGTGCATATAGAAAAACAATATATAGTAGTTTTGCTTGTACGAATCTGTGAAGAAGTTGGAGCTTAGTTTCAACAAATTTCTATACAAATTTCAGGAGGGAGTTGGTAACTGGAACCTAGATCGAACGAATTGTCAAACAACATTTCTAGTTATTATTATTTTTGTAATCAATCCAATTAGTTTAATGTTATTATTATTATTATTTTTAGGTGATCTGATCAGTTTGTAATGCTCGTTAGCATGTTATTATTGTTCTGTTAGCATGAGAAAAAAATTGACAATAATAACAAAATCGTTAATCAAATTGATCTGCTTTTTATCCATTTTCTTTTATGTTTTGCTTAACTTAAATTCGAACAACTTTTATCTATTTTCTTTTTTGTTTTGCTTAATTTAAATTCGAACATTTATTTGTTTTGACAAGATTATTGGATGGATTTATTTAGCTTTTACCATTAAAAACTAATTCCATATGACGTCCACTCCTGATGATTTATGATGTAATTTTCATATTCTGAGAGAGTGAGAATTCAGGATGTGAATAAAAGAAGGGAAATAGTAGAAAATAGGCCAATATGAAAACCTTAAGAAAGTATATAGGCTAATTTTTAGTTATAGAAATTAATAGGCCATAACTTGTTAAGTTATGGTTCATAATCAGATAAGTTATGGACAAATTTATCAAGTTATGGTTCATAGTCAGACAAATTATGGACGAAAATCGTGAATAACTTGTCAAGTTATGGTTCATAACCAGACAAGTTATGGACGAAAACAGTAATTTGACCTATTTATTAACTTATGTAAACTATTGGCCTATTAATTTTAATTCATCTTAAGTCTTGGCCTATTTTCCTCTTTCTCACGGGTTTTTAGCCCAATTATCCATGAATTTATCGTGGTTTAATCATTTATTTTCTAATTTTTAATTTTGACAATTAATTTTTTGAATTTATAAAATTATTACAATGTATTCTATTTTACTAAATTTATTATTAGGTTTAAGGGATTAAAAGTTAAATAATTGAAAGATTTGTATTACATTTAAATCGAGATGTTGAAATTTTTTATCATGCTTTTTTTTATACTAATTTAACATAATTATCATCACAATGAGGCATATTTCAACAGCTTTACAAGTTAAAGGGACAACTTACTTAAATTAAAAATTCAAAAGGCAAGTTGCTTAAATTATACAAATTCGGTAAGTAAATGTGTACAAATATTACAAAAATAGCAGTATTAATTTTTGTCGAATTATCGTATTTTTTTCAACACCAAATCAGTTTTCAACTATAATTTTATGTTTTTTCTCCATAATATGTTTTTAGATTGAAAAGGTAAAGATGATATTTCTATCACAAATATGTTATAAAATATGTTTCGAAAGGAAATTATAAATATTATTTTATTATACTATTATTATAACAACAGAGTTTTCGCAACAATTGAAAAAAAAAAAAAAAAAGAGATATTAGGCTAATATTTTTGTAATGACTAATCTTTTATATGCGACCAAATTGATATTCCATTGTTTTTCTTAAAAAAAAAAAAAAAGGATATTGTTACGCTAAAACTTTGCGGAAAAACACAGTTTTAAAGTAATCTTTTAACCTATTTTAAAAAAGTAAGTTTTTCTTAAAAAAAATATCCAGATCATCCACAATAATCGGTATATATAATCAATATTTTGGGCCTTTTAAGAAAGTTGATCGTGATAGTTTTAAAATATGCTACGTACTGAATTTAATTTTATAAATATATTATTTATTACGCTCATTTTTTTTCTACTAACAATATTTATAGGAGATTTTGATTAATAATATTTATAGGTGAATTTTTTATATTTACATATAAAAAGCCAAATGTGATATTTTCAAAATATATAAGGAGTAATTTTGTATTATGTGTAAAAATTAAGATTTTTTTTTAATGTGAATGTATTTCAAAAATATGAAAGTACAATATTGATACAAATGATCTTGCAATACAAGCATAATTTAATCTCGACCATTAGTCGGTTCCACCACTAATCATGAAAACGAGGGGAGGAAAACGTGCACTAAGCTCTTACAAAAGGAGGCTGGCACAAAGAACGAGCACACATACGGCTCTTGGAAGACACATCTCTACAATTGATGGATAATGTTAATTGATCAAGTGTGAAATAACCTGTAGACCAAAGGTCACCCATGTAGGATCTAGTTGTGATTTTTAAGTGAAAAATCATTTAAACAACAACAAACTTGTAGGCGGAAATTTTAAAAATTTTCACATATATTTTAATTCTAAATTAAACACAAATCACAACGAGAGATACATGCATGATATATGTTTATGGACAAAGGAATAAAATGACAATCATACCTTTAAGACGATTGGATCAAATATGGCCGCAAGGATCTTGTCTCACTATCTCACGTTCTGAGATGGAGAATTGCCGTGAAACAAGACCGTTGATTTATGAACACGATCACACCAAAAACCACTCGTTGATTCAAGACTATGACTCTAAGTATTTTGGGAGAAGAGAGTGGGCTCCTTTTTGAAAAACCTAAGGAAACAATTTTCCTTCTATTTTTTAATCACAAATCCGGCCACCCTAGGGAGAGAATAAGAGTGAGGTATTTTTGTTTTCTTTTCTTAGCCACCACTAGGGTTTTCAATAATATCCCTTTATAGGAGGAAATTCAAAAACTTAACCCTATATGGGATTTCTGAATTTTCCCCTTCATTTTTGGATCAAAATCTGAATTCCCACTTGCCAAGGGATTTCTGAATTTTTCCAAAAATAAAATCAACTCTCTCCTTCCTTTAGTTGCCAAATCAAATCATGTTCAAATTCATTCCTTTTATTTTTCAATTATCAAATAAATGAAAAATAACATAATGAATTTATTTAAACATAATTACGTAACAAAACATCAGTTTCAATTTTCTCACTTATTAGAGCTAACCTTGAGACCGAATGGACCCATATGAACAAAGCTATGGAATTACAATACTCGACTAATTTATCCTGATAAGTTATTGACGTATTTAATTTTGACATCTTACGACTCCACTAAAGGTTCGATGCCGACTAATCTCTCGATTCATATGCGCTATTTTTCTGATGGTGTTAATACAATTTATCACACGGTCCATAGAATAAATGCACTATTATCCTTTGTAAATATCAATGACTAGAATGGTATAGAAAATTACCGTTTTACCATTCCAGTCATTATTTCCTCAACTCCTTTATATGATTGTGAACAAGAAAGACATATGTTCGTAAGATGTCTTGCACATGTCACGATGTCTTAATCAATGAATACCATCATTGAAGGATCCAGTTGTGAAAACGGTAATTTCAAGGCAACCCGTGCCCCGAAGGGGCTAAGAAAGAGAGATCTGTACCAAGCTGAGATCGTCATTGATGGAGTACTACCGCACCAGCACTTAAGGCTGCACGCAAGAGCCAACATACCACCACTCCCGACACGCCACCTAACCACGAGAGCCAAGATCTCCCAAGGCGCATCTCTTTTGAAGACCTCATGCGTCTCGCATGGACAAAAGCGACGACAGAGCCACTCCCAACACCATGCCCCGTTTTCTAATCCCCTTATGAACATCGGGAAAGGGACCGAAGCTCAAATGATGTGGATCCAGCAGGGCTCCAACTAGGGGTGGCAATTCGTGTCACGTGTCGTGTTTTGATCGTTTCTTTCTAAATTTACAGTCAACCCGAACACGACCCGTGACACGAAATTTTTTAAAAACCGTAACACGAACACGACACGAAAATGCCCCGTGAACCCGAAATTGACACGAAAATTGTATACTTTTATTTAGTTTTTTACATATTAAAAATAACTTAAAATTCATAACACACTAAAATACAATAACATCAATTGAAATTAAGCAAATAATACTATAAGATTTTGAGTATAACTATCATGATATCATAAGTTCATAGTAAAATCAAAATATATGTATTTTTTAGTTTTTTATGAGTTTCATGTTGTGTTCGGGTTAGGCGGGTCCAACTCGAAATTGACTGGTGTTTTTTGTGTCAATTTCAGGCCGACCCAATTCTGACCCGAACCTCTTTTTTCTTAACCCTAATCTGCGAAATTCGTGTCATTTTTGAGTCGTGTTGTTATGTCGTGACCCATATAATTGATCCTAACTCCAACGCTCTTAAGAAAGGTACACGTAACGTTGGCAACCACCCAATACAACCTCGCCAAAAACCCATCCCCTCGATCACACAAGTAGCCCCCCACCAAATCCATCACTAATCTGAGCAAGTTAAATGCTACCATTAGATTCCAGCTTGAGGAGAGAGCTCCACAATGACACTAGCAAAAAAAACTAGCATATGAGAGAGAGCAACCCTAATTGGGTAGTAAAAATTGACGATGTTTCACAATGTGTGAGAGATAAAATCTGTAATAAAAAATTGAATTTAAATTTTTATAAAAGAAAATACTAGTTAATAAAAGTTGAGTTGTGAATATAAAGAGGGTTTAAGATCGTTTTTAAAGTTGTTCTTTTTACTTTTTATTTTTATTTTTCAAAGAAACGAATGACGTGTAAATAAAAATAAAAATATACAAATACGATAAAACTCCCAAAATGGTTTTCTGGAAAGTGAGAACGTTATTCTCTCTTTCGAATCTAACAGAGGCTTGTCTTAATTTTAGAGAGAGAGAGAGAGAGAGAGAGAGAGAGAAGTAGCAGAAAATCAAGAGCATCTTCTTCTTCTTCTTCTTCTCTTGGCCGTGGCCACTCCAGCGCCTGGTAAATCCTAATCCTAATCCTAATTCTCTTTCTCTTGATTTGCTCAATTCAGAAATCCCCCGAACGAAACCCCATCATTTCCATAAGAATTCAGCGATTATCATAATGTTGATAGGTTTTCGTCTCATCGTTCTTTCACTTCTTTTCTTCTTCATTGCAATAATTTGATCGGAATTGCTTCAATTTATTCATTTTGTTTATCGTATCATCGTTGATTGGTTAAATTGTTTGTTCGGACTTCGGCTGCTCAGAAAAGAAAAGAAATGAAAAGAAATGAAAAGAAAATAACAATGAAAGTTGTTGGTGTAAAGTTTATCTCAGTTATAGTAAAGTTTTTCTTTTAATTGAACTTATCTTTGTCGCTTTAATTCTTGAATTTCGATATGTAATAGTTAATATTTCAAGATTTTGTTTGTTGTCAGGAAATGGTGCTATTGAAAACTGGTTTTTTTTTTTTTTTTTTGGGTTCTTTTGCAGCTTCATTTTATGTGGTGAAGAGAGAATTCAGGGTCACTTTATGCTCATTTTCTTGGTATGTAGTTCTTTGCATTTTTCTGTTTCATGTCATGTGTGTAGTGGTGGATCCAATTTGAGGTAACATATCTGAGTTTTATGCATCCAGAATTCAGCCTTAAAGCCATGCCGCGTAAAGTAAATATCAGAGTTGATTACTACGAAGACTACGATGACTTTGACGATTATGATTACGGCATAGAAGAGAATGGTTAGTAGCTTTTGTCTATTCGATGTCCTCTCTTTATCTGGACTTTTTTTGCCTTCCAAAGATTTGTAGGGTTTGGTGAAGGCTCCGGTTTCAAATTCAGGCTCACAACGTGAGTTCGGGAATTTATGGATATCACATATATACAGTTGCCTGTTACACTTACAACCCATTATGATATCACCTACAAGCTCTAATAGAGTAGCGTTTACAATTGATTTCGTGGATATTGCATTGACATATATATATCTTCTGAAGTGATTTTCACTTTTCATTAAGTTTTCTTGCTTTCTCAAAATGAAAACTTTACCTTCTAGGGTGCTTTCTTCCTTCCTTTCTGTGCTCTTCTTTCATTCTTCAGTTTTACTAGAAAACTAAAGCAACTCGATTCATTTGTAGCTCAAAGTAGTTGTTATAACTTGTATCTTACCTTGGACATTTGTTTTAGAAGAGAATTAAGACTAATGACGGTATCCTAATTCCTTTTCCGCATTTAACAAAGTTGGACTTTTTCCTTGACTCCTTACTTTAACCTCTGGACTAATGGAATTTTCCTTCAAGACCATTGACCACATAAAATTATAAGTCTATAACCAAGAGCAGGTCATCTTATTCTAAAATTACTGCCACATTTAGTTTGGATCTCAGATAATTTAAATATCACCCATAGCATAACTGCCATGAATTCTTTGTAATTGGTCTTGTTGTATTCGTAGTTATGTTCAGATATTGCTTCTATTCTAATAGGATGATGGTAAAATCGATTACTTTAATGTGATTTTTTCTCTTTTGAGATGTCGTTTAGTGTTTTCTTTGTTGTTTGCGTCTTATATGCTACAATGTGCTGTTTTGACAATTTGTTTAGTTTCTTTACCCTTACGTTTCGTTTTGGGTAGTAGGTTATTGTTAGCTGATAGGTCTTGAGCTCGTTGTATTGGGGCAAACTTGGCTTTGTTTATTTTGGGATCCAAAGATTTGGGAACATAATTCCACTGTTCACCTGAGATAACCATCTCAGTTTATCTAGACTCTCTACGTCAATATGTCAATGCTCGATCCACGCTGTTGGGCATCTCATACCAATGACAAATTATTTTACATAATTCAATCTGAAATTACATTGTTTTTTTATATGTACTTATTCTAATGCTTTTTTTTTTTGTGACCTATTACACTGTTATTGGCTGTGGCAATGATATGTGTCTTAATTATTCTTTCAATTTGTTTTTCTCTAGCAGTTGCCGTAGTAGAATCAAAACCAGAAAGTGAGAGGCGTGGGATTTGGAGTTGTTATATTTGCACATATGATAATGATGACAGTATGTCTGCTTGTGACATTTGTGGGGTTCTTCGCAACCCCTTGCCTAACATCAGCAGTACCAGTAAGAAAACAGGTAGATAAATATATCCTGCGCATTTAGTTTTATAGCTTCGTCTAATTTTTTTGAAGTCCCCATTCTATGAAGTGATCTTCATTTATTATCATGAAGATATTCTTTTTCTAGCCTTCCCTCTGAATAGTAATGTTTTGAAGCAATTCGCAGCGCCTAAATCAGTCTAGGTCCTAGGTTTTGGGCAAGGATTCATCTTTAATCTCAATTATGTTTGAGGTTATTTCTTAAAGATATCTCCTACGCTTCCATGTTAGACTCCTAATTTCATAGGTTTCATTTGAAATTCATTGTCCTTTCCTTTCATAGAGTAGATCTCTTCCATGCAGTTGAAGGCACATGCAAAGATGCTGAAGCATCCATAATGGCCCAGTCTCTTTTTGCATCACTGCCGCATCAGGCACCCAAAAATGCCGTCTTATTTCAACCGCAGAAAGATGGTTCTGAGGCTGATGAGGGCAATAACTTCCACAAGCTTGAGAATTTCCAAGGACATATTGATGAATTATATAAGATCTTTAGTACTCATAACCAGCACCAGGTTAATATAGGTCTGCCTGCACCTGTTCTAAAGGAGGATGTGACTCTGTAGAATTAGATAATTATACTTTTTCTTGTTGAGATAGTTTATAATCCAAGTAGTTACTATTGTTCATTGAAGTTTTATCTGATATGTTATTGGGACATGTATTTGGAGTTCTGAATGTGCTTTAATTGATGGTACAGTTCCTTTCAAGTTTGATACTCCATCTCCAGATGACATGGTCACAAATGGCTTGCGTTCCTCCAAAATGGGTTCTAAAGGTACACTTATGTTACTAAAGTAAACCTTGTTTGCATATATGATTTATCACAGTAAAATTGAAATTTTTTGGATAATTACATTTAGTTCATATAGTAATGTTGATGTTTCTGTTATATTTTGATTGGGCATCCACGGTTTGGAACCAAGATTTTCTTTATAAAATGTCGTTTTATATAAGTCAAGTATGATTCTTGTCAGCCAAGTGTTTTTATACCGAGTTAACTCTAACATTAAAAGTTGTCCATTAGTGTCCTTTAGTTTGCACAGTTAGAGTTTGTTTAGTTCATCTTGTGATGGATCAGTTTTAGCCCAAACTTAATAAATTATTCTTGGTTCATTTAGAATTACTTGTGCCTTGTGAAGGAAAAAATGCAAATTGTTTACTTCTTAACTGAGAGCAACCTGTTGCATGAATAGAAATGCATATCCTTAGCTATAAATTATGCCCTGATTTTAGCATCTTTTGATCTTGTTAAACATCCAGTGCAACAAAAAATTCGTTCGTTAGATAATTTGTTGTTTCTTTGCAATCTATCTTATTATGTTTTGAATTTAAATTTAACTTTGTTGTACACTACATTCTACTGCCAGCCAATCTTAATGACTCAAAGACTTCAACAATCACTTTAGCCATCAGTGAGAACATTGGAACACTAGACGAGCGATCAAATGATGGAAGGTTAGATAGCTTCTCCATGTCGTCAGATAAGAGGCATCAAGTAAAGAGAGGAACAGGTAAAGTACAAGGAAGTTCTAAAAGTTCAGATGTATCATCAGATTGTTTTCTGAAAAGTAGCCATGGTAGAGTGGAGGAGAGCAGTTATATAAAGGGCATTGCAATTGACATAGAATCGGACGGTGAAAGGATAGAAAGCTCATCAATGGCAGAGCCTAAAGGCAAGCATGATAGCGTGGATGAGAACATAAGTTCTGTGAATAGGGGCAAACCAGAGAGTCTTGCCAATAACTTGAATAACATGGCTTTGGGTGTAAGATCTGGAAATCCAAATAACATAAATGCTAGAAAAGCTAATTCACACAAGCAGTATAAACCTGAGAAATGGATGCTTCCTGATCAAGCTGAAGATGCACTGATTCAGTTGAATCTGGCCATAGTGAGTAAAGTTGTCCAGTTATCTTCTCATGCTCTATGTAACTAAGCTGTTTATATTAGTTTATATGAGTGATATTATTTTACATGTATTTGTAGGTTGGTCACGTTGATTCTGGAAAATCAACGCTCTCTGGTAGATTGCTACACCTTTCAGGTCGGATATCTGAAAAACAAATGCACAAATATGAAAAAGAGGCGAAGATACAGGTGAACATTGCGATTTTGAATGTGATTGCTATAAATCTTTTCATTCTATGATTTACTGTGTTCTTTATTCAAGCAGGGTAAAGGGTCCTTTGCTTATGCCTGGGCATTGGATGAGAGTGCAGAAGAGAGGGAACGGGGAATAACTATGACAGTGGCTGTTGCTTATTTTGATTCCAAAAGATATCATGTCGTGGTGCTCGACTCACCCGGCCACAAAGATTTTGTTCCAAACATGATCTCCGGGGCAACACAAGCTGATGCTGCAATTATTGTAATAGATGCCTCGCTTGGTTCATTTGAAGCTGGTATGGACAGTATGAAGGGGCAGACAAGGGAACATGCACAACTTATCAGAAGTTTTGGTGTGGAACAAATTATAGTTGCTGTTAACAAAATGGATGTTGTTGGGTATTCTAAGGAGCGATTTGATTTGATTAAACAACAACTCGGGACGTTTCTTCGTTCTTGTAACTTTAAGGATTCTTCTATATCTTGGCTTCCATTGAGTGCCATGGAAAATCAAAATTTGGTTGCAGCTCCTTCTGATGTTCGCTTCTCATCCTGGTGAGATCATCTATTCAGAGTTGCTAAGCCTTTTGCTCTATTTGTGCACATCTTTCATTTATACTTTCTAAGTAGAACCAAGGTTCAGGTAGTAATGTCATGGAAGTAAGATAAAAGTTTGGAATTACGTAATGCAAGTAATGAATGCTTTGTGGTTAATAACCACTAGCTCTTGTCTTCCATCTAGAGTTTGAGTGACAGGCCTTTTTGCCAGTATGGTTCTGATGACTGAATATTTTAGAGGAAATTTTTGCATTAATTTTAGTTAGTATGGCTTGCATAAGGGCTTCTCTCTCTCGCCCAAGATTACAGAAAATAAAAATAAGACTTATCTGTTTGAAATGCAGGTATAAGGGACGTCACCTTTTGGATGCAATTGATTCCTTCCGACCTCCATCAAGAGATTTTTCAAAGCCTCTGCTTATGCCTATATGTGATGTCATTAAATCGCCTTCACTTGGGCAGGTGTCTGCCTGTGGTAAATTGGAAGCGGGGGCTCTTCGGAGTGGATTGAAGGTACTAGTCAATAATTAACCAACTTGTTCAGCTGGTTGTGACTTGTGTCCCAGAGAAAGAATGCATTGAATGACAAATTTTAAAAGAATGCATTCAAGGGTCTTAATAAAGCCTGATCTTTATATTCCACACACTATTTCTTAAGTTGTGTCTGAACAAGTAGCATCATAAGTTGGTTTCTGTCGTAATCTTCTGAATTTCTGAATATTCAAACGTCTACGAAACTGTTTGAGTTAATCATATGCTTGATCAGCAGTTTTAATGTCAATCTGTCATGGGATTGCTTAATCGTGCTTCCTCCATTTTGTGTATAGTCCAATGTTTAGAAAAGCCTAAAACTTTCTACTTGGGAAGCAGGAATACTAGGAAATAATCAGTTGGCTTGTATGAATTGTGTCATATTATCTATTCTTAATCTTGTGGTGGGTTTTAATGTTTTGCTAATTAAATTGGAACGATATGTTTCAAATTATAGGTTCTTGTTATGCCTTCCGGAGGCATAGGCACTGCACGATCCTTAGAACGTGATTCTCAGGCTTGTTCGATTGCAAGAGCCGGGGATAGTGTTGCTGTTAGTCTTCAAGGTATTGATGGAAGTAATGTCGTGGCCGGTGGAGTGCTATGTCACCCTGATTTTCCGGTTAATGTAGCAAAACGTTTGGAAGTAAAGGTTCTTGTTTTGGATGTAGCAACGCCAATTTTAGTGGGATCTCAGGTATGTATTTTGTGCTCACGACATTTACTTTTTACTTTTTTCTTTTTTTAATTTAGATTTTCCTGCTATATTTTTCTCCGTCGGGGGATTCATTTGTGAGTTGTGACTGGAATGAGCAGTTGGAATTTCACATACACCACGCGAAGGAGGCAGCGACAGTTGTGAAAATACTGTCATTGCTCGACTCAAAGACGGGCAAGGTGGCGAAAAAGGCCCCCCGTTGTCTTACCGCAAAGCAGAGTGCTGTTATTGAGGTGATTTAAGATCAAAATCTCGCCTCTTGTAATTCAAGAATCAAAAGAATGTTTGGATTCTTTTTTTTTTTTTTTTTTGTTCTCCTAACATTTACCCGTTCTCCAAATTCAGGTGCTTTTGCATGGACCAGTTTGCGTAGAAGAGTTCTCGAGTTGTAGGGCCCTTGGAAGGGTGTTTCTGAGAGCATTAGGAAGAACTATCGCGGTTGGTATTGTAACCAGAATTATTGACTAGAGTTGTTTGTGTTTACACTAGACCATTTTTGAAATATTTTACTTGGCATACTGTTAAATCATCTTTCATCTTTTTTTTCTTTTTTTCTTTTTTTTTTTTCCCCCGACCCGCGGGTGGGCTGTCGGGATGAGATAATATTTCTCCATACTGAAAGTTTGGATGAGGTTTAAAGAGCTTTAGGGCAACATTGTATTGGCATTTGTGGGATTAGTTGCTTTGTTCTTTTTTTTTTTTTTTTCTAGTAATAAATACTAAAATCATTTTAACCAATTCACATTTTAATTTTGCGACTTACCAATTATGATATATACAGTATCTCTAACGAATAATAGTAAATGCTATCCTTAGTTTTAGCAATCCTTAGTTTTGGATAACTTTCGATATGGAGTGGTGATGAGACAGTTGTTAAGGCATTGTGCATGTGTATGTGTGTGTTTGTGTAAGTTTGGGTCAGGCCAATAATTTAGGCCCAAAAAAGTTTCAGGTCGAGTTGGCCCATATTGGTCTTCCTTTCTCCTTTTAGGCCGGTCCGGTTAAATTATTGGGCTGGCCTAGCTAGAAAATCCTCTTTGGGTCGTTAGGACTTTCACGAGAAAAAACAGAAAAATGTCAGATTTTTACCACTTAAAAGATTATTTAGTCAAATTAATCAAGAAAAAAGATAAAAATTTTAAAACAATTCAATAGGTGAGTTATGAGAAAAAGGGAGAGTGCAAACAGTTACGAAGAAATATTGAGTGTGATGAACTGATGGCAAGTTCACTAATCCAATGCCATAAGTAATTAAATTTAATAGGAACTTGGTAAGGAAATATTCGATTGAGATTTCTATATTAAAATCAAGTTGGTTGTTGAGGAATGATAATAACAATAATAATACAATTTTAGGGGAATGCTAAATACACTTTTTTATAAATGTTATTCTAATCTTTTAACACGTCACTTCTATTTCTTCAAATAAACTAATTTAATAATAAGTCACTCTCTTATTTTAGAAAAATGCTAAATAAAGATTCTTTTATAGATGTTATTTTAATGTTTTAACACGTCACTTTTATTTCTTCAAATAAACTAAATTTAATAATGAGTCCCTGCCTTTTACTTATTTACAAGGGCGTCATTTCTCTATTTTTAGCTTTACACGTTTGAAAAAAAAAAAAAAAAAAAAAAAAAAAAAAAACCCCCCCAAGAGAGGCTTGCGTAAGAGATGGCCTCAGGAAGCGGATTCGGCATCAAATGGCCCGTCTTTTGGATAACAAATAGAATAGATATCCTTCTTCTCGTTTTCGGAAATTAATTTAAAAACCCCCTAATTAATTACTCAATACCCATGAATCTTCTTGCAATTTTGAACAATTATCTCTGAATAAGGAATTACCCACTTTTCCCTTTGACAGAGAAAAAAAAAACTCTTCCAAAAAAATAGTGACAATGGCCATGCACACAACTAAGAGAGCTTTTTCAGTAGAGGAAAAAAAAAAAAAATAAAAGAAGAAACTACCGGAACTTTTTTTTTTTTTTTTTTTTTTTTTTTGGGATGAGGGATGGAAATGTCTGCTCAAAGATCTTGGTGGGTACTGGGTTTTCCTTTTGGTTGCAGAAGATGAAGTATTAAGATCTGCGAAGAAGAAGACAAGATGTTAGGGTTTAAAAGACATTTAGTTTTTTCTTTTCTAATTTAACGGTGTTAGAAAAGGTCTAGAAATTTTGCTAGCTTGTTAAGTTTTAATAAGGTGACATATTTTCATTGGAGGAACAGAAAGAGAGAAAGAAGAAGAGGGGACAAATGATCTCCCTCCAAAAGAGAGAAATATGACACTTATAAATAAGCGTAAAGGAATTGACTTATTGTTAAGTTAATTTATATAAGAAAATATAAATGACATGCGTCAAAAAATTATGTTAACATATGTAAAAAAAGTCTGTATTTAACATTTTTCTACAGGTTTATTACCAAAAATGTTCTCTTATATTAGACATTCTTTAGGAATAAAAAGTAAAGAGAAGAAGTTAGCTGGCATTTATCACCTAAAATAATCACAATTAATTATTATCTTTAGCTTTTGTGAGTCCCACACATTTCATTGTGATCAAATGCCAATATGATATAAACGATTGATAACAGCCACAAGAAAATGAAAATTATTAACGTTTTCATTTAGTGCATTAGTGGTAATTGGTGAATAAAACATACCAAAAAATATAAAATGATTGGAATTCCTATTTAGAATTGCGATATGGCCAGCCACGTTCCAACTTGTCCAATAATAGCAACAAAAAACACATTCCAACGAGACAATTAAAAAAAAAAAAAAAAGCTCTTGCAGGCAAACTTTCTAAAGTTTGATACTTGGATTATTAGGCTCACGTTTCTCTTACTTGCTACTTATTGATAGCAAATTAACAATTGTTTACTTCCAATGGAAGGATGTTCACTCGTATACTTCCTTCTTTTATGTATATACGCCATTATATTTTAGTAACTTAATTGGAAAGCAGTCCCATTAATGTATATATAACAAACATAGCAATTAGTACAGTCATTAAAAAAAGATGATACACTTGGACCACCTTATATATAATAAACGAATATTTATATGCCTTTTTTTTTTTTTTTTTTTTTTGTAGTTTGCATTGAGCATGCCTCAAGTGAATTAAAATTCAAACAAGAATGATTGCATTGGATCTATAGTTTGAGAGGTTTTTTTTCAGGAGAATATTGGATCTATAGTTTAAGGGCATATTGGCCTTTTACTTAGAGCAATTCTCCATTTGATGAAAAAAAAAAAAAAAAGATCCCTTTGTACCTGCAGAATTATTCGATTCTCTGTGTGGGATTATGACAAATATTTATAATTTTCCTTTTTTTAAAAAAGGAATTATATTTCAAATTAAAAAAATACAACCACTAATTTAAACGTAAAAGACTAAGTGCAAATAGCGACTTAACTATTTGCACTCAACCTTAACCACATAAGTTTTATTAAAACGATTAAGGAACAATATTGACTCTTTTAAATACACCACTAATGCTTCGATAGTCAGCGATAAAATCAAGAGATCAAAAGCACTTAAGCCTACATGACAAGTAGACAAAACAAAAAGAAAAAGTCAGAAAGTGAAAAAACTACGTCCATTATTATAGCGAAACAACTAAAATAAATAAGGAACAATATTGACTCTTTTAAATACACCACTAATGCTTCGATAGTCAGCGATAAAATCAAGAGATCAAAAGCACTTAAGCCTACATGACAAGTAGACAAAACAAAAAGAAAAAGTCAGAAAGTGAAAAAACTACGTCCATTATTATAGCGAAACAACTAAAATAAAATAATAGAGTCCGTTTAGTTCATTGATTTAAATTTTTAATTTGAGTTGAGATGTGATTTTATATGAGAATTTTTTACTGTAATAAAAAAATTAAATGTAATTATTTATGAGAGCTTTTTATTATAGAAAAATTTAAATTTTAAACTTAAATCAGCGAAATAAATGGATCAGTTATGTTTGCTCCTTTTATAGAAAGGATACAAAAACATAACCCAGTCTTCAGTCCGTACTTATATATTTTTTCTTTAAGTGTGTATATATTTTTAAAAAAATATAGATTATATATTTTATTATAAAAAAATTATATATTTTATTATAAAAAAATTATATATTTTAAGTAAAAATATTTATGTTTTAAAACAAATATATACATATTTTAAAAAAAAATATACAAATGTTATTTTAATTCGATACTGAATTGGAGACAATTTCTAAAACTATATTCTTGTGCCGTTTGTTAATGTTAAATTTACAGAATGTAAAAATTTTAAAGCTGAAATTTAGTGAAATTCAATGGTATAATAGTCACGAATTAGTGATCAGATATTTTATTAGTCTACCAAACTATTTTCTGTTCTTAACGGTTTTGAGACGTCAACTCTTATTAGACTCTTATTAGCAAAAAAAAAAAAAAAAACTCTTTTTGGACTTTTACAAGAACGAAAAAAGGTGACTAGTTACCCGCTAACCATTAGCAATTAGCATTAATGAAACAAACTCTTATCAAAGGGAACATTCCCATTAATTTGCTATCAATTTTTAGTCAAGAGTAGAGTTACTTTAACCAAAATTACATACATTCTGGACATATGTCGTCAATGGGCCAAACGGGGAAAAAAAAGAAGAGAAAAAAATAGCAAATTATGGCTGCGATATAAAATTTTACACATATATATGTACCAAATTATGTAGCAATGTTTTTAATTAGAGAAAACTTTAATTTTAATTATTATTTTTTTCCAACTCTATTATTTATGCCACAACACAAAATTTTAATGTCACTACGGAAAATAATTTGGAAGTTACAAAAAATAACATACAACTAACGAAAAATAACCTGCATATTACGAAAGATATCATGCAAGTTATGAAAAAATAACTTATAAATTATTAGTGATATAGGATAAATTTACCAGAGTAACAGAAATAAAATAGCATTACTTTAATAATAGTATTTTAGATTTCCTCTCTTTTAACTACAAGGGACAATTATTAATGTGTCATTTTTTCTGAGGGGATATATTGTATCAATATTTTTCTAAGGAAAAATAATATGAACACAATATTCTGTCATTAAGGCGTCCATTAGTAATGGTAACCTTTTCCCCTAAAAAAAATCATTAGTAACCTTACAATAACATTTACTTGGGGATTGGTTGCTCTCTGAAGGGATTATTTGCAAGAGTACAAAGAGGTCGTTTATACATTTTATTAAAAAAAAGATCTTTTATATTTGAGAAAAAAAATGTTATAAAAAAGAAACACTGTTTTATTTCTGCATCAATTTTAAATTTTTATTTATGTTATTAATATTTTGATAAGATAACTTTCAAATTCTATCCTAATATTTTTTTCTGGCATAATATACTATCATAATATGTTTTAGATTCTACGAAAATATTTGTTAATAGCATAAATAATAGATTATGAAAAACAGTTGTTATTTTTATAATCGTGTCTTTATATTTTATTCAGGAAAAAGTAAAACTGATTGTTTTTCTTTTATCTTTTTCTCTTGTTTTTTTAAAATGGAGAGAAAAGGGTGGGAGTAAGTCAAGAGCATTCCACTTTTTGATTGGAATTGAAAAAGTGTTGACTATGTGGACACTGATGAATCTTGCAATCTTGAATGAATTTACTTTTTTGTTTGGAAACTGCAATATCAATTTACTGTCATGTTTTTGTTTCTTCCTTGGTATTAAATTACTTTCCACGTTTATTTTCACAAACATGTATTAAGATTATTATAATATATGGGGATGCTATTTGGCCCGAGCGGGCTATTCCCACGATCCACAAGTAGAGAACTGATTAGTCCACGAATCAACATAGCCAAGTCATTTAAAATTTTTAAATAAATTTTAATTTGTGAGCCCCACCATTTAGTGGACGTTTGGTTGATGGATTCAAAATCATTCTTGATTTACTTGTATTTTTTATGAAAAAAAATACTGTAGTGAGTCACGAATAATAATCTGCGAATCCACCAACCAAAGGGGCAATCTCTCTTTTTCTCATTATCTCTGAGTCTCTACACCTGTATTTATTTTTTTCTTTTTTTCCTCTCAAATGGTCCGTTTAGTTGGTTAATTCAAATTTTTAATTTGAGTTAATATATGATTTTATGTAAGAATTTTTTACTGTAGTAAAAAAATTAAATATGATTGTTTCTGAAAATATTTTATTATAATAAAATTCGGTGAGATGAACGGGCCCTAATTCTCATCTCTCAAATTTTTCTCTGGTTCTTCATCTCTAAAAGTGAAAAAAAGGAAGATGGCTTCATGTTTCATTTTTCTCTCACTGTTGTTAGCAAAAGAAAAAAAAAATACGATTTTTTTTTTTTACTTTTCTTATGAATAGATTTTGTTGGACAAAAACACCAGGAAACAAAAGACCTTAGGAGCAAAAAAAAAAAAAATATAATAAATAAAAAACAAGCATAGCAAAAATGTTGAGGGATCTCCGATGAAGAACTTGAGTCATAAAAGTCATTGGCAATATCTACTTTTATTTATTTATTTATTTTTTAGATCTTCAACCAAAAAAGCACAACATTAAAATCTACCTTAAGAATCATGTAGAAAAAAAATCTACCGATTATTATTCCAGTTTCTAGGTTATAGTTTCAATGTGCGGTTCTTAATCCCTATGTTTTATTACCTCACAAATCTCATATGCACAAAAGAGAATAAATGGGGGAGAGAGAAGAACAAGAGAGGAGAGAGCATTTGTAGAAAAAAGTGAGACTAGCCTTTGGAGGAAAGATAAAAGAAGATTAAGAAATGAAAAGACATAATATCAAGTTATTAAGGACTTGTTCAGTTGCATTTTTAGTTATGGTGATTTAAGTGTAGATCTTTAATTGAATTTGAGTTATAATTTGAGTTGAAGTTGTAACTTGAGTTTGTGTTTGGATGTGCACATTTGAGTTGTGATTTGAATTGAGAATCTATTTGAGTTTGTGTCTGAATGAGTCAAAACTTAAATATATATTTAGATAGTATTTTAATAAAAATTTAATGGTGATAAAATTTTTTAATAGGATATATGAGTGAGATTTTATTCGTCTTTTTGTTGTGAACACATATAAGAAAAACCATCTCAATTGAAATTAAAACGAAAAAGTTATGACGTTTTTAAAAATAGTTAAAATATTATTCATTAACTTGAAGTTGAGTTTAAAAACTTGAGTTGAAGGGAAAACTTGAACTCAGATTTTAGCTCCAAACTCATGTTAAAACTTGAGTTAAAACTCAAGTTCAAACTCAATTTTACAAACGAACATGAACTCAGTAAAGTTATAACTTGAGTTTAAATTTTTTTTTAGTTTTACTCTAAAAGAACAAATCCTAAATAATCACCACGTTAGTAAACACGTGGGATCATAAATCCCACGACTCGGAACAAAAAGTATTTTCGATAATATATATATTTGGCTTTGGTAGTTGTCGACGGTGAAAATTCGTCAATACATATATAATAAATTTTAAAACGGTTTGCATGAATTTAATAATTCAAAATCTGATTAAAAGTAAGAGCACACAAGAATTATAGTGATTCACCATTGATTCAGGAGCTACATCTACTGTGGGTAGAAGAGAGTTCACTATTTTTCAAAGAGAACTACACACTCTAATTGCTTTGAATGAGACTTAGGGATATTTCGACCTATAATCCCTTATTTATATTGTTGACTATCGTCCTACTGGTTTTTCTATTTAATTCAGGAATATTTCCCTCATCTTTTGAGATAGTTTCCCAAAAGATGAAGATTACAATCAATCAGGACGATTTCATCGCTTAAATTTCATATACTTGAATTACAAATAACAAATCCCGAAGTAAATCTTGCATGTCTCTCGATTTGCATAGACTCAACTTCATAAGCTCTTCCAGAACCATCTTCATCTATAATTATTAGTCCGGTCAACCCCATGTTATCCTTTGCATCTCCTTAAAGCGGTCGACCTCCTATGTATGCCACACCCTTAATTAGCGATCTGCTCCTAAAAGAGTTGCCATCCGACATGACGATTAAGACTGAGCTATCTTCAGTCATTTGATGCCCTCATTTATAACCTGTGGACCTTGATTTAGAGTTCAGAATTTTAACCTACCACTTTTGGTTGTGTTTTGAAGAAAATGAAGTAAACCATGGAAAAAGAAGAACTGAAATAAGTGCTGTATTTGTTTATTTATTTTTGAGAATTGACTTTTAATAAGACATGTAAGTGAACAAATGGAAGTCCGCACGTCATGTGTAATTTTAGTCAAATACCTTCATTTTTTGCTTACTCTAATGGATTTTGACATATGAATTAATCTGCTTTTTTATTACCTTTGGGAAATTCATTTTAGCTTTCTAATATAATTCATTGGTTATGATGCACCATTATGACTCCAAAGCACTAAACAATAAAGAAAATCAAAGCAGATATTTATTCATATTTTGTTACGTGGTTATTTTATATAGGAACAAAACATACAAGTATTGATATATATAGCTTTAATATTTATATGCATGGAAACTTCAAAAATAAAATGTAAACATGGTAGCCAAAAAAAAAAAAAAAAAGGTCCTGACTAATTGGTCACTTGGCTCGCGTGCCATAAAGTAAACTCTTTTAATATCAATAATTAATTCGATATAAAATTTTCAATAATTAATGTCTGCACTCTTTTTTGTAAAAGTACAGAGGAGATTTCTTGAGTCTGGAAAGACAATAAAAGCAAATTAATTTTACTATGCATTTTGTTTTTTGGAAGGTGAATAAATTTGGTACACTTGTTAATATTATACTGTGAACGGAGACACACATGCTACAAGGGCGTATAAATTTCCCATACTAAAATAACGATTTCTCAAACATTTCCGTTGACTATTTCTCTTCTATTTTTCCGCAAGTGGAGTATTTCAAATTCCAAAATCCAAATCTAAACAAAAAGTTTGTTAACAAAATATCACAATATTTCTCAACCACCAAGGTTTTATGTCAAATTTGCTTGTTATTTTAAATTACAAAACATGATTTATTTTCTAAAAAATTAGGCATTACTTACATTCTCCTGAAAAAAAATATTATCTACCACAAAGTAAAAAAAAAAAAAAAAAAAAAAAAAAAAAAAAAAAAAAACAAAAAAAATTACATGAGAAACGAAAAACTTTTGTTCTCCCTCAAAGACTTGCAAAAGATTGGTCAACGATGAAGGGTATATTTGTCATTACGTGGTAAATGTACATTTTTTAATATATTTTTTCCTTTTATTTTTCTCTTTTTCTTTCCTAATTCTCTGTGTCCTCCTTTGGAATAAGGAAAAGAACTTTAGGAAGATAATTTTTTTCTTTAAAAAAAGAAAAACTGAACTGGAGAGAGAGAGAGGAAAGAGCTTTAGGAAGATAATTTTTTTCTTTTAAAAAAGAAAAACTGAACTGGAGAGAGAGAGAGAGAGGAGAGAGGACAGAGAGGGAGGGAGGGAGAGAGAGGGACCTGGGACCCTACCTACTCTGAGTCTGAGCGCACACAATCAAAGAACCGAGAGACCACAACTTCCCCTAAAGTTATTTGTTATTTAAAGATACCTGCTTCTCTCTTTTGGGTCTTTAAGTTTTTGTAATTTCAACCCCACGATTCTCATATTAGGTGAGCAAGGCTATCTTTTTGTTTCTGGTTTTTTCTTTTTAATGCTAAAGTTTTCATTTTTAGTTGATTTAATCAATACCCATTTGTTGGTTCTTCACTTCTTGTGGCTTTTTCTTGTATATTAGTTTCATTTCCTTAATCAATTTTGTGTTTTATTAGTTTTTCAGTTGTTGATTTTGATGCTGTAGGTTTTTTCTGAATCTTGTTGTTTGCAGACGAGTTTGATCGTGTCTTTTTTTTATTAATAGCCTAGTTTTTGATTGATTAACTTAGTTTTAGTGTTTATTTTGATGTTTCTCTAATGGAACCTCTATATTGTTTCTGGGTTTGTTTATCTTTGATATTGGGAACATCATAATTACTGATATTATCAAGATTTTAATATGAAAACGATTGGTTACAGATTGCCGTTTTCTTATTTGTATATTTAATTTTGCCCAATTTCTGTTTGGGGTTTGTTGACTTTTCTTATTATTTCTTTTAGTCAATATTTAACCATATATGCTGACATCTTTTCTGGCTCTTGAAACAAAAGCAAATAGAGAAGAGGAAATGTCATCTTCAATAGCCAGTTTTATGCTGTTAAATTTATCAGTTCATCTGATTATAGATTATCTAGTCTTGGGCTGCCTTTCAAAGGAAGAAAAGAAAAAAGATATGGAATTGGGGTTCTTTTTCTTTGCAAAACACACTTTATGTTAGCAATTATCAAGGGGAAGGGTGCAGGGATCATTCTTTTTCAGATTTTTGTTTTTATTTTGCAAACAAGTTCATCTTCCGCCCTTATATTTCTCTTTTTAAGACTTTATTTTATTCTAGGAACACATAGAAAACAAAGAAATTCGGTTAAGTCATGGAGGTTTTAATCAATTGTTGGTGATTTGTAAGTCTTTCTGGTAAAACTGGTGCTGTTTCTTGCATCTTGTTCTATGAGAAAAAACTAGTTCTTGCTTTGTTGGTGTTAGACAATTATATATATATATATATATATATATATAGATTTATGATTTCCTGAAATTTTCTTTTAGGGACTGAAGTTGTAAAATATGCTTTATTCTACTGTTATTAACACCATTCTTTTACCATGTGCAGCCTTGTATTGTGGCCTGATATACAGGATCAAGGGCTTATTGTATATATTTTTATAAACTAGAAGTTTAGTTAGTTCAATCAGCGTTTCTCCTTCTTTGCACATTGAAGGAGCACACTGTTGTGTGCCATGTTCCTGCACTCTTTCTAATTAGTAGCAGACCTTTCATGGGCTTTGAATCTTTATAGTGAGAGAGAGCTTCAATCCAATATATCTAACATGAATATTGATATTCCCTTGGTTACGAACTGGGAAGATGTGATTTGTCCTATATGTTTGGATTTCCCTCACAATAGTGTGCTTCTTCAATGCTCATCTTACGAGAAAGGGTGCCGCGCTTTTGTTTGCGACACAAACCACTTGCACTCGAATTGTTTGGACCGTTTCAAGAGCGCGTATGGTGTCTCATCTCCGTCCACATCTGATGCGAGTGATGTGGTAAACACCGAGCCAGTTGAATCCGAGGACAACTGCAAACCAAGTTGTCCCTTGTGTAGAGGTGAGGTTACTGGATGGGTGGTTGTTGATAAGGCTCGTGTGCATCTTGATGAGAAGAAACGTTGCTGTGATGAGGAACAATGTACGTATACAGGAACTTTCTCGGAACTCCAGAAACATGCTCAAAAAGAGCACCCACATGCTCGTCCGTCAAAGATTGATCCTGCTCGGCAGCTTGACTGGGAGAATTTCCAGCAGTCCTCTGAAATTATTGATGTTCTGAGCACTATTCATTCAGAAGTCCCGCGTGGTGTGGTTTTGGGGGACTACGTGATAGAATATGGTGGTGATGACACTGGGGATGAGTATGAGGACTTCCGTGGGGATGAAGGTAACTGGTGGACCTCCTGTATCTTGTATCAGGTTTTCGAAAACTTCAGGAGTTCTAGAAACCGAAGAAGGTCAAGAGTTAGTGATGCAAGGAGAGGAAGCCGCCGATCAAGTTATGATACTTCAAATTCTGATGAGGGCTCTGTGACATCTGTAGAATTTGCAGACTATAGAGTAGATGATATTGATGACGATTTCATGAGCACAAGTGGCCCCTCAAGGAGTGGATCCAGTCATCGAAGGTCGTAGTACTTGACCATGTTTTTATTTTTCCTTTGGATGCTTTATCATGTTGATATCTTATAGATTCCAACAATTTTCATCTTAGTGAAATACTTAATTGGCATGATCCTGTGCTAAAAAAAAAAAGAAAAGAATTTGACAACTTAAGTTAATAATTTATCTCGTCAATGTTTGTACTCTGTTGCAGTGTTGCTCTAGAATCACGGGACTTCTATGGCTGGTTTCCAAGTCATTGTAGTATTATTTATTTATTTTTTTTCCAGTAAGAACTAGTGATAGCACATGTAAATATAGTTTAGGATTTGGAAATTTTGTTTGTGGTTAATGTGTTGAAATGTTCAATTATTCGTTACTAAGGTCGTTTTGTCATTTTAGTTTGTGAAACTAAGATCTTAAACACCTTGGAGTTTGCTGGCTCTTTCCTCTACATCTAATTTATCCAAATTGGTTTTGTGTTGACAGTTCGGGGAGACGTCGTTCCCGCTTCTATGACAATTAGGTATGCTCTATCCATGGATCCCCTCAATTCTCTTTTTTTCTATTTGGGTTATTTTTAAAGACAATGGAAAATCTCTAATAAACTTTGTAGCTGCACTTTTTAACACTTGATTATATTCAAGGTATCATTATCTGCTCTCATCATTGAGATGTTTTTTAGTAACATAAAAATCTTATGGCAGTTCTTGAGTAGGAAGTCAAAACAAGGAAAGAAAAGACAGATCCGAAAGGAAGTGGAAAACACAGGAATGCTTGCTATTGTGTGTCTTAGAACATTTAAAAAGCTACATCTGGATCATGACTTGTTAAGTTTTCGCCGCAATGTCCTTATGTACACATGGATTTCAAACTTTTCGTGAACAAGCCCGCAGCGTGCTATTTTCTTTGGTAGCTAACGATTTCATTTTGCCGAGTAGTGGTATCATGTCGATAACAGATCTTGGTCTTTTTCATGGCTTGTCATATCAATAACCCGTAATTCGACCCTTAATCTCCTTGCGATGATGCCATCTGTGCTGCTTAATAGACCAGTTCATTCAGGAGGATGATTATGGAGTTGCTCTTTTTGGGTGTGTTTCTAGACAATATGGACACCATTTAGGCTCTCTTTAATCTTCATCTAACCAAAATAGTTTTATGTTTAGAATTTCTGTTTATATGATCTATTTTCAGGTGTTTGCGCAATGATCTAAAAATTGAAGTTTCTTTCCTCAATGCATGAACTAAAGTATTACAGCTTGTAATCGTTGAATAAAAGTTGAAAGTCTGCATCAAAACATACATATTTAGTTTGTCGGTACAAATTGAATAGAAAGATATTGGAGATTCAAGAATCCAGATATTTCAAGGACTTTGATAGAATAAGGTTAAAGACGTGTGTGTAAGCGGGATCTTAAGTCTGGCGGCCATACGGACGGTACAATCTAAGGTCTTATTTGCTTTGCGGATTTAGGTTTTCAATTCGAACTGAGATATGATATTTTTTGAGAATTTTTAACTATAGTAAAAAAGTTAGATATAACATTTTTTGAGAGTTTTTAACTGTAGAAACTTATAACTGAAAACTCGAATCGGTGAAATGAACAAAGTCAAGTATAACATTTTTCATGCAAATTCATAATTTTTTGGTGTAATATAGTAAGATTAAAGCAAATTTAATGTAACGTGGTCATAGACTACATTATACTGAGGGTTACTCTTTTATCTCTTAAAAAAGGCGTAAAAGAAAGGAGGAAAAAAAAAGTATCGGGACTGAGGAGAGATAAAAAAATCACATTAGTTTTTTTTTTTTCAACTCATCTTTTTGTTAAATCCTTGAAAAATAAGACGTCAAACAAATTTTTCATTCATTAACAACGGCAAGCTTTGTACTTTGATTTCTTTCATTTCTACGCTTGAAAATTAATATTCTCTGTCAAGGTAGTGATTAGACAGACGCTCTTATTTTGCTTGTTCACCGTCAATTTGTCATTCACCACGTCTAAAATTTATGTCTAATTCATATTGTTTGTTCTGCTGTAAAAATTTACTGCCAGTTCCTTTATCTTTTTCTTTTTTTTTTTTTTTTTTTTTTTTTTTTTTTTTTTTTTTTTTTTTTTGAAGGCACATTCCTAGTCATCATCTTTATGATTCCCATTTGCATCTCTACCCCGGTAAGTTAAGGTCACGGTGAACTAGCCCGTTCATAGTAGAACGCGTTTTTCCCATTGGTACTGTCGAGGTTGAGGACACGACCGATGGGAGAATCTTCAAAGTAAATGGCCAGCGTCTGAAGAATTACTTAGATTGGGTGAACCAGGTTGAAGAGATCATTCTCGACGACCCCGTTTACCAGCCCTGACTAGTTTGCTCTAGTGCTGAAACTTAGACGGGCCGCCCGCGACCACCGAAAAGTCCAAATTTTTGCCCGAGAACCGAACCCGAACTGCCTGCACGACCCAACCTGAATTTCACCATGGATGGGCTTTGGGCAGGAGGTGGCTGCCCGTGCCTGGTCGGGCTGCCCGATGCCTGACCGGCTACCCGAATTTTTAAACTTTTTTTATATTATTTTTTTATATTGTATAATTTGTATTTGTATAATTATAATGTGTACAATTTGAAATTTGAAATGAACACACGAACTATATAAAAAAAATTATTTCTTTATTGATTTTTAAATTTATAATTCATGATTGTCTCGTTAAAAACCTTATCAAGAAAAACCCAATTGAGATAAAAACTTGGTAAGGAAAAAGGAGTGCAATCATTGTGGGACGAATTATAAATTTGACAAACTTACAAAGTCTATACAAGATTACAATAACACTATACAAATTAGAAATTACAAAGTAAATAAATATTTACAAATTACAATAATAAAATTTAATTTGAAGAAGAAGGATCGTCTTAAAAATTAAAAGTTAATCTATTAAACTCGTCGATCCATTCTTGGCTTGCCGGTGAGATTGTATCGTGTAAGTGTTGGTCGAAACTGTTGGGAATGATGTCCTAGAAGCATAAGATGTAATATGATATTTATTATTTATTTAATAAAAGAGTTTATTCATTATTTTATGTGCATATATTTATGAATATTTTATGAATATCAATCAAAATTCCATGGTTATTTATGTAACCTTAAACATTGTATATAAGTGTTATATACGAGAGGATAATGTTTAAGGATAATAATCAAAAAGCAATGTTCATAATGAATTTAATTAAAGTTCAGAATCTTTAATTAAAACATTATTAATACATGTCAT